CAGAAAAAGCAAAATGGCACAGCTGCAGGTCTATCTTTTTACAGGGATTGCATGCATGGAAGAATCCTTACACACGACAACTGCAGAAGAGCACAGGGGAGCCGTGTTCTCTCCCCAAACTAGTATTTTTTCTATTTTTGTCTGACTAATGGAGTCTGCGCTTTAGGAATGCCTATGTAATAGTTATATTTATCTGATTCCTGAGGCTATGTCCTCAAGTTTAATACGTCTACTTAAGGCTGACACCAGTCAACAGGTCCTTGTGACAAAAAGCATAAAGTGACCATCCTTGTGCTCTTTGGCAAGTCTTTGAAAGTTGCTTTAATATGCTGTTTTACACAGACAGATATCATACCTTTATCCATGGTGATGCAGCTACAGTCGTGGTTTCCCTTTCATGTAAATGGGATTAAGCCCTCTGGTCAGAGCGGGTGAGCTCCTGGTTCCCTTGGCGGTTCAATCCAGAATCTTTGCTTAGTGGCAACCAATCTACATTTAAGTGCAGAGAAAAATAAGTACCAGAGACTTTCCTCCTCCCTCCTGTGAATGTTCCAGCCTGGGGATGGTGAAATGCTATCTTTAGACTTTGTGCAAGCCTGATCTAATACTCAAGGTCACTTCCTTCACCTATGAGGAAAAAAAAAAAAAAAAAAAAACCCACAACTCATTTTCCTATATCATTGGGAATCTTTCCTAAGCCTACCCAAAAGAAATCTGCTCATGCAGAGAGGGTCTGAAGATGATAAGTGTTGTGCAGCTGGACCTCTTTCCCGTTGCGTTTTTGGTAGCTCTCAAGTATTCTAAGTTGCAAGTCTCAGATACTTTGGTTCCAGCACAGTGGTAAAGCAGGACCTAGGAACTGTTTTAGAAGTGTCAGTTGCCTCATTATGTTTACAGTCCAATGTGAAAAGTAAATGATGTGAAAATGATGTCAGGGTGCTTCCATGCTTGTTGTGGTCTCAGAGGGCAGTGGAAGTGGGAATTTAGAGCCTTTGAAAATTGGCCTTCGCACATAAGCACCCTGCCAGTTCCCTGCTGAAGCTTCTTGTGGTTATTGTAGGTTAGATGTCATTACAGTCAGACCTAAAATGGAATTAAAATTTTAAACAATGTTAGTCCCAATTTATCAAGGTTCTTAAACATTTCCATAACTTTAGCATATGGGTGACCTCATAGAATTTATTTAAACAGAGTTATCTATGTGCATAGCAAGAGATCTTAAGTCTCATTTTATCTGAAAAAACTGAAGATGGTAAATATGGAACAGTGCTAAGTGATGGAAAATTATTGGTGATGGGTCAAGTTGCATCCCCTGCTGGTTTTCAAGAGTGTATGTGTGCATGTATAATTATAAATCACAAACCAAAATGTCTTGGCTCTAAGTGCTCATATCCTATGTCAAACTGGATCATGAATGCATCTCATGACATGGCTGAGACATGAAAGCATTTCTGGAGATGTTATCTAAGTGACAGTTGTGCTTTCACTTTATTTGCTAATTACGCTTCTTGATATACTATACTTTCTAAGTAGCCTTGTAGAAAGCAATGCTAAGTTAGTTCTTTTTCTTGCTGCAGTCTTATAGTCAGCTGCCTTCCAAATTTCACATCCAACAAATAAACCAAGATCTGCATTTGGCATGACACAAGCTAATTAAATGCATCAATCTTGGCTTCTTAAATAAAGGACAGCATAAAAGCAATGGTTAGCATTTTCCTCAGAAACGAAGGGAAAAATTAGCTTTAGTTACTGAGTAGCAGAAGGCCTGGTTGACTTTGTGGTATCAATCCAGTATGTCTTACTTGCATTGCGTCAACAAGTTACAAAACAAATCAAGTTTCCCTCAGCCATCACTCTCTAAAGTCTTTTTCCATGATTTGGAACCAGATTTCCAAGGTCTTGATTCATGGGACCTTCATGAGCCTCTTTGCCCTGTAGCTCAAGAGGCTTGTTACAACCCAGTGAAGAAACACGTCTTCTTGGGGCTGAGGACGCCCGCTAGAGGCAGGAGCTTTCTGGCAGTGAAGGGCGCCTGACAATGCCCCGACGAAGCACCATATTAGGCAATGGTGCTGTCAAGAATGGCATTTGGGGACTCCAGCAAACATGCCTCCTGGGAAAGGCACACAACAGCGTGCTGCTGGTTGAGAGCACGGAGCTCTCTCCTGGCTGACAAGCCTTTGCCAGAGGTCAGCCGCAGAGGGCTGTCATTCTTTGGGGAGGTGGAAACTGCTCGGTGCTATTAATGGGTTTTTCCTGGCTGTCCTCAGGAATGGAAGCGTAAACCAAGCATGACCATGAAAGGGGTCACATATAGCCAAAAGATTATGCTAAAGTATCTCCCCACGTCTCTGCCACCCACAGTGCCTGAAACGCTCTCTCTTCCTTTTGCCTCCCATTCCATACTGCTGGTCTCACCCCCCAGCTCAGCTCTTGCCTCAGTTCTCCCAGCATTAGCTGCACAGCCTTGAATTGCAGTTTAGGAAAGAAAATATAGATTTCTTTAAGGGTCTGGCTCAGGCATCATCCCTTGTATGTAAGAGATTGAGCTTAGACTATGCTACTAGTGTTTTAGGGCTGGTCTGCACTGTAGATTTTGGCTACCCTTTGTGCCTAGTGCTAAGCAAGCCAAGACTGTAAATCTGTGCAATTTCTGACCAATAAAATAATGGAATAGGAAATCCTGTGTATTTGCAAAACTGCACTGTGACCAAGGTATCTGGTTTTGGTCACAATTGGCGACAATATTCTACCTCTGAAAAGCACAACTTTGTGGAGTGGCTGCATCTAAGCCATGAGTATATAGTGTACTGATTTATACCAGCAATAAGGTTTCTAGGAGAAACATGGGTTTATTTTTCGTGCAAACTCCTAAAGACAGTGACTTTTCTCTACTTCATTGCACAAATTAGACTGCTACCCTTAATAATATCCAAACCTTAAGTATGATTTTTCTGAAGTATGCTTTATGAAGTATGAAGTATATTTTCTTAAGTATGATTTTTCTGAAAATTTTCTGCAAAAAAAGACATGTGACTTCTTACCTGTATTTGAACAGAACCCCAAGTTGTGCCTAATTTCGGTAGGAGAGTGTTCACCAAACTAGTCATTATTTGTTGGTAGTCTGTAGGGACACAAATGGGCAATCTTTCATAAAATAATTAATAAATGAAATAATGTAAGTGAAAACAATTAAAAATGCGGCTGCTTTGAGGATAGAGCAAGCCATGAAAAAACTTTGAAAATGAAATAAAAAGCTCAAGGCCAGTCTCTTCAAAAGCTCATAAGCTTCCTTCCAGGCCAGGACAATGCTTAGAAAGATGAGCTTTTATATACATACATATTTATTTGTGTATGTGTATATATATCTATATATACATACACATTTCCTGTTTTTGTTCTGGTGAGCCAGGGTCTTCCATGCCATAGAGATATTGTCAGCAAAAGCAGTCAGAAATTATGTGGATGAGGAGGCAGTTGTTGCAAGAGATACTTTTTCTCTTTGGATGTTATCCACCTCTGACTTACTTGGGCAAATTTATTTGTTTAGATTAAAACATGGTTCATAGAGGTTTTAATTAACGTAGGGTTGTGACTGGAGATTTTATTCTTCCTTTGGGAGTTTAGACCAAAAGATGTAAAGCAAAACTTAATATCTTACTAATTAGATCAGAAAAATAAACTGGTGTGAATCCAAGTAAAACTATTTTGTTATAATCAGAACATGTATCTGTTGGTCTTTAATATACATTCTCTTTTGTATCCTGAACGATAGGTGCTCTGCTCAGAACTTGCAGTACTGAGTGTGGCCATATATCTCTTTAGATTCTCTGCACTGATTTGTTATAGTGTCTACATATGTGTGTGAAAGTTCCTAAATGATATCAAATTTACATACTCAGCTTAAAATTAACTTTGTACTGAAAGTATTTCTCCCTTTTAAATGTTAAATGAATTTACAAAGAATGGGAAGCATGTTTTTAGTTATATTTAGACCTGAGGGCAAAGGAGTAACCTTACTAGCATTTCTGTGTGACAGACATTGAAACTTTATTTCCTGAATATGTCCTGAGATGGGGTTCCAAAGGTTAATACCCATAACATGACAGGGGTTAGTGTCAGCCATCTACTATTACGGTTAAAAATTTTAACCTTTTAAATCGTTGCTTGTTGAAAGTAATTGAACTATAAGAAGATGCACTATCTCCAATAACTATTCCTATTTTCAACCAGTCACGAATCCTCGTGCTTTTATACTTTGACAATAAATTTCCTTTAATTACTTTAAAAGTAAACTTTATCATGTTAATATAATTTTATATTTTTATATAAATATATATATACACTCTCGTATGTCTCATCTTAAACAATGTTTTTAAGTAGGGTATAAAATCTGGTTTCTATATCACATATCCAAAAAAGGAAAGTGTTCTCACCCTAATTTGGATTAAAAAATCATGACAGAAAGAGACAAAAAGACACATACTGTAGGTTTGACACAAAGCAACTAAGTTGGTGTTTTGCACTTTCTGCTTGCAGAAATACAGAGGTGGCAGCTGAAATATGAAATAAGGAAGACCATAGAATTATAAAAATACTGCTTTGGGGTGAGGGCTCTGGAGGTCTCTACTCTAGCTTCCTACTCAAAGACAAATTTCTGCTGTCACAAGATCAGGTCGGCCATGGCTTTGTTTGGTTGATTCTTTTAAAACTTCAAAGTGTGGGTATTCATGGTCTCTCTGGATAAGCTGTTACATAGCTGCATTACTGTCATGGTAGAATTTTTTTCTTAATGAAAGTCCCAAACTGTGCTTTGTGGCCATTGGCTGTTTTCATATAGTCAGGTCAAACCAAGGAGGGTTTAGAGTCCTTCTTCTTTTTAACTGTCTTTCAAGAAGGTGCAGGCTGTGTCCAAATTCAACAACCATATACCAAATGTGTGAAGAAAATACTTGCTTTTCTTGAAGCTCAATAGTTTTTTTTCTTTCCTCATTTTTCAGAGACTGAAGTTGAAAATGCGCCACCACCTCCAGGTCAGTGTAAAATACACTAACTAGCTCTGTAAGACTAACAAGAATATTGCATGAGCAGAGATGCTGCATTTGTGCTCATTGTGCCTGTGAAAGTGAGGGGATGGTAAGAAAAGTAAGAATAAAATGTTATGCCTGAATAAAATGTTATGCCTGCACTTTACCTGAGAACTGCTCATTTCTTAGACTTAAGTTTTGTTTAGAAGAGACTTGTTTTTTCCATGATAAGACAAATGTCTTTTGGGATGCAGAAAAAATACAGCTGCTTAGACTCTGTGGTTAAATTTTGTTGTCTTCTTTGATGATAAACATCGGCTAAACGGTATAAGAGGGATGTGGAGCTGCTGGAGAGAGTCCAGCGCATGGCCACAAGGATGATCAGGGGCCTGGAACATCTGCCCTACGAGGAGAGGCTGAGGGAGCTGGGCCTGTTCAGCCTGGAGAAGAGAAGGCTGAGAGGGGATCTAATCAGTGTCTATAGGTACCTCAAGGGAGGGAGTGAAGAGGATGGTGCTGGTCTCTTTTCAGTGGTGGCCACTGATAGGAAATGGCCGGAAACTGAAACATCAAAAATTCCATAGGAACTTAAGGAAAAAGTTCTTAACAGTGAGGGTGACAGAGCACTGGAACAGGCTGCCCAGAGAGGTTGTAGAGTCTCCTTCTCTGGAGATCTTCAAAACCCGCTTGGATGCAGTCCTGTGCCACGTGCTCTAGGTGACCCTGCGTGTGCAGGGAGGGTTGGACTAGATGACCTCTAGAGGTCCCTTCCAACCTTAAGCATTCTGTGATTCTATGATTCTATGAAAATATTCCTTGTCATTTCTCATTGAAAGTACACTGCAAGCAAAGATGACAGAATGAAGCACGGGATATATCTCATCTAATTTTAGCCATATGAAGATTATGTGCCTTGCCTGAGTTGATCAACAGTGTTGATCAATCCGTAAGTGATGGAGCAGATCCCATAAGCATTTCCCAGATAACTTAAGGTATCTAAAATGCCACTAGATGTTTAGACAATTTCCCCAAGGAATTTGGCTGACTAGCTTGGTCTCTAGTTTGGTCTGGGTGAATAACTCAGGAAGCTGAAGTTAGGTGAGGTGAAACTCATGCACTGCCCAGGGCTTCAGGTAAAGGAAAGTCTTTGTGTTTTTGGCTTGTTTTGTACTGAGTTATATTTTCAGGTGCTAGTGAGTAAATATATTGTTAATTTAACCTCCCGGTGAGTTTTACTCTCAATGTACCTACCAAAATGGCAATAACATACAGAATAACTATTGTCCAAGTCACATTTTAAACCTTCATTTACTTGTAGCCTCGCAAATTGACAGTTCTCAAGAATGGTTTGAGATATTTTTAAGTGATGCTGTCTTTCAAAAGAAAAAAAAAGGGGGGGGGGGCAAGGGCTGAAGCCAGTATCATCTGTCATAAGAATTTCCAGGTTTGAATATTCTATATATTATTTGAGATTAGAATGTACTCTTTCATATTGTTATACTGACAGGGAAAGTTAATTGGTACTTAATTCATCATGATTAATGAATTTTACTCCATAGTACAATCTGTGCAGCTGATGTTAAATTAATTACAAAAGATTCATGCTGAGTTTCTTATTTGATATACTTCTTAACTGAGTGTATGTTTTTCATCAATCCTAACTTACGAGTAGAACTGATTTGACAAACTGGTTTTATAGGTAGAAAAGACATTTTGATGCATTACATCCAAAAGTACATTGTCAAATATGTATCATCTTCTTTGTTTTTATTTAAAAACAGAGAATTAAATATGAAATCACTCCTTTAACCTCTTCTGTAAAACAAGTTGTGAGTAGACCTTATAGGTTAAAAATAGACCAAACAGGGATATTGCTAAGTAGAAAGTGTCAGTCACTGAGGAGGTCTTTCTCCTAGCTCCACTCTGCCTAAACCAATTACCAAGAGCTATGTAACAAAGCGGGAAGTTAGTTGTTCAAATATTGGACATAATGTAGTCTATTGGACATAATCAGAATCTTGAACTGTACCGGGAAATATTAGGGAAACCATTGTAATAACTCCTTCTAAATATCCCTGTCAAGCACCAGGCTGGTAAACTCAGCCCTTCATGAAGTTTTAAATGGAATTTAGGCATGCTACCATCTTTCGAGAATAGCGAACTATTAAATCCCAGTTCCTACTGAGAAAGGAATGTGTTACTGTAACACTCTGAAATTTTGAATTTGTTGAGAGTATTGTCTGAGTTTTCTTACTCATAAAAAGCTAGAGATACTCCATCTGTGCTTCCTTGGAATACTAGACAAGATAGCAATTCTACTAATCAGGTAAACTGAAACCAAACAGCCTAGGAAAGATGATAATGATAAGAATAAAGAACACCTTCAGTACACTTTTTCTGCACTTTATCTCCTTCTAAGCATAAATTGACGGGCGTGATGGAGCTCTGAACAGAGTCAGCATGTGGCCCTATCTATCTTATGTGTGATCCAAGCTCACTGAAAAGATATTTGGGGTCATTTCAGCAGCTTTTACATAGGACCCCTTCTAAACAAGCCAGCATTTGCTTCCATGAAATAGAAATGCCAGTCTTATGTGACGCATTCAAAACAGCATGAAGCATTTTATGAAATCACAATTGCATGTTATACATATATATCTCAATAATTCTTTAATCATGTTTTTTCAATACAAACAGAACCCAGAATCTTGCTGTATTTTTAATGCTGTATAAGTTTTTCTTTTTATTTTAAGATCCTTTCAAAAATATACTTGTACTTCCTACACAGAACAAAAAGCACCACAAGACGGTGGAACTGAAAAGGGCAAAGGTGAGTTTGAAATCGTATTTCAAAAAATGGCAGTAATTAATTAGAACATTTCTAAATGCTGCTCTGATGCTAGATTGCTTGAGCTTTATTCAGAATTTTGGTGCACCAAATCGCAGAAGTGTGATAGGAAGCTTCGTGGTTTGTTGTTTTTTCTGCATGACCTATGCAGCAGAAGGAAATTACGATACTTCTGAGCATCTTCAAAAGTTCTGTGAACAAGGCTGATGCTTTTTAGCAACACTGATTATGGAGACTGTCTTCTTAATCGATCAGATTTCAAATGATTTGCATGAGCAGGAAGCTTTCTTTAACTGAGCCTGAATCTTGACACTGACCAAAGTTGTTAAAACACAGATACCTATCAGCACTCCTAAATGAAGGGAGTAATCTCCTGTCATGATCCTAAGCCACTTCCTTTCTGCCTCAGGACTTTGATACTGCATGTTCTACCTTTGCAGAAAAATCTAATAGATTTTACACAGTCCTCAAAAAACAAATCATTTTTTTTAAATCTACCATCATGGAGGGACCAGTGATTGAACTCATATACAACTTCGGAAAATGTCTTTTAGCACTGTTTGCTGTGAACAAACGCATAAAGGCTACACTAACAATGCATCTAAAACTTAGCTACACTTTGAATATATATAGTTTTATTCTTTTCCAGTTTAAAAAAAAGGGCATTTGAGGGAACTAGGTAAAGTTCTACTACTTTTTATACTTCATGCCTAAACAGATTTCAAGCAACTCATCAGCTCATTTTGAAATGAATAATCAATTATTTTTCACTCTGATAAATGGCTAAACCAGACCAAAATATGTTTACAATTGTTGCAATGCTTTTAAACTTATTTGGCTTGGTTATGCTTTTTATGGCAAATCAAGAAATGGATTGCTTGAAAATATATTCTGGCTTGATTTGACTCCTCTAGATAAAATATTGCCTTTTATGTAGACAGGATGCATACTTGCCGATTTATATGGCAGTAGTGTGCATGGCTATTTTTGTCAAGAAAGGAAAAAGCAAGAATGCCAAGAGTGTGTTCTTTAAGTTATTAAGTATAAGAAAAATGCTGAACTAGGCTTCAGTGCATGCTATCATACTAGCTATCCTTGCATTGAGGAATTATTCTGACACACAAATGCCGTGTGCGAGTACTCAAATCTGTCCTCTTGTTGTGTTGGCCAACACAATTCAGGAATAACTTGCATGCCTAATGGCAGGGAAAAAGGTGAAGGCCTTCCCTCAAGCTATTCCAGCAGTTACTTCTGCTTTAATTTTGACATAAGAGCAGTTTGTTTCTGAACCAAACATGAATAGAATTCTCCCCAATCTTGTAAGTCCAGATTTTACTGAATTAAAAAGAAAACATGGTAGGTATCTCATCAAGTACGTCTGGTTTATTTTGTACATCATTATACTGTTTCTGTTCTGAATTTAGTGTCAAACACACATATTTCCTAAAGGCAAAAAAAGCTTTTCCAGTGCCGACCCATTTGTTTCTACCTTTAAGGATTTTACTATCTAAAAAATTGTTGGATATTCTAGTATACAAATCAGAATGGGAAGTATGTGTGGTTTTCTATCACATCAGCAGCCACCTGAGTAAAATTTTCAGTGAAAAACTGAATACCACTATGTTTTGTTGCATAGTATCACCATGTGAGGTTAAATAAATTTTCTTAAACTGATTGCTTTTTATTTGTGTGTTAGAAAAGAATTTTTATAATGGTGTTATACACAAAATAGGAAAAGGTTTCATTTTTCCCATTAGTATAATGTAAACAGTTTATTAGGGAAATGAGGAGAGAACCAGCTATTGGCTAGCTTTTGTATAAATTATTTATAAAACTGCTTCTGTTGTTTCAGAAGTAACAGATTTGGGCACTTCCCTCAACAAGGATGAGATGAGAAAGATTTTGTATCTGCGCACAGTGATACCCACTTATATTTCATTATAAGTGATCAATGATTCTATGATATCTGTGTGTTAGCACTTGTGCTGATAATTGTTAAAAATAGATCATTATAGTTATTTGGGGCAGCCCCTCATGGCAGTGCTGAGATCTAGGAAAGAAACCTTGGTACAGGCAGTTCATACCTTTCATCTAATTTCATTTAAAAGTTAGTAGTACCAGAAATAAGGAAGGTAAAGTATAGCGACCTGTGTGTCTGTTTGACTGTTTTATTTCTTTGGAGTAGTCACTGTCTGTGTGAAATTTATTTATGTCCCTTTATGTTCACTGTAAAGCTAAGAAATGGATGACAGAGTGATAAGTTGTTTATATTGCAGTTCTTTTTCTGTAAATCTCCAGTTTAGAGCAGTAAAAATAATTTTTATTCTATACAGTAATTTTTATAACATTTCCAGTTTCAAAGAAATCTGAAGTAATTTAGTAAAAATTTTAGGATACATTTGAGTATTCTTTCTTTTTTCAGAGCAAAAAGTGACTAAGATGAAATCCTACTAAATTTACTATGTTTTCTCGAACAGATTAATTTTATATTTTCTTGTTTTTGTTTTTTTAATGCTGGCAGTATCTTATACACTGAATATTGTTATCATCGTGTTCCCAAATGCTGGAATAATATTTGAAATTTAATTTGCTCATTCCTTTTTTAGGTTCCACCCAGACACTCAGAGAGCTACTAAAATTTGTGCATGTTTTACTGATACTTTTTCTCCAGGTTTCATTCAACCATCTACTAAAATGTTTGCATGTTTCATCCTTGTATTTTCTCCAGGTTTCACTTATTCATTCATCTCTCTACTAAAATCTCCACCGTTGTATTTATGTGCTTTAATTAGGATTTCCAAAGTACCAAGTCCCTTGATGGGACTGCTGAATACTCTTTGAAAAACAGGTATGTTATTGAAGGCACATAGATTTTAACCTCTTTGTCTTTAGAACACTTAAAATGTGTTCAGTAATTGCAGAATAAATTAAAGGTATTCGACCAGTGTGTTGAGTTACTCTGTATTGATATAAGTACCTTGAAGGCAAGGGTTCACTTTTTGCACCCTATACCTACCTCCTGTCCTGGTCAAACCTGAATTCTTATTCTAAAGTGCAGCACAGATACATTAAAGCACTCTGAAGTCAACTGCAGCTGAAAACAGTGGGCTGAAAAAGTGTTTCTGCCCTACTCACCACCCCTCCATATCTATATATTTCTACTGTCTCTCTCATGCGAGTTCCCATGGCTATCAGCCAGTGGGAGCAGGGAACAGCCACAGGGATTAATTGGTTTACCGGCTTTCTTTTCATTAAATCAAGTATGAGGTGCTGCTCCAGTGGAGTACATTCCAAAATTTCTGTTTCACTCTGTGGCACCAGGACTTCGTTGGTGATTTGTGGTTCCCAATCCTCTTGAATGTATTTGAAAAAAAAAAAGAAAAAAGGAAAAAATAGAATTTTAATACTATTTTTCACTTCTGTAAAATGTTACATTTATCAGCATGGGAGGTGATGGCAGAATCACAGTTTCCATTTTACCATGGTTGATTTCAAATTAGAGAAAACAAAAAGTCTAAAATTCTTAACATCAGTAGTTCTCATGAAGCAATAATTCTTATACTTTGGCAGTTTTTCAAAACTGGTGCTGTGACAACAGCCACATTTATTATTTCTGTGGAAACATTTATCATTATCATATTTATTTAAAAGTTAATATTGTCCAGGAAGAATAAGACAATAGGAGTAATGGATTGATACAGCTAACCCATTTGTCAAAATAACACTAGCATAATTTATGTCTTTTTCATACTCTTTCCATTTACAGCACATTCAATTGTGCATTCATTTTGAAATATCTGAATGTTCTGAAATATCCAGTGTATTTGATGTAAATGTGTTTTTTGAAAAATGAGAGATGACAGTAATGAAAACCCATGGTTCCTTCTGCAAAACAAAGAAACTTTTTTTGTTGTTTTAGTGTTTCAAATCTTTAAAGGGAATAAAAGTGAACTAGAACAGTCTGTTAATGATACGATTATTATACAGCATCAAGTAGCATGCATCATTTCATACATTTTACGCTGATCGATATTATTTGTTTCTGACCAGCAAGGATGATATTGCAGACCTCTTCAAACTCATCACAACCACAGCAGTGGTTAACAAAAAGACATTAACAATTACTTCATATTTTCATCAAATATGCAGCCAAATTTCCAGTGGAATTTAGTCTTGCATTCCCTTAGTTTTTACCCCATATGTTAAAACATCTGATATGATTTTATCATTATGATACTTTCACTGAAAATCAACATCTTCAGTCTCTGCTGATGCCAGTGAAGATGCAGGTGGTGAGAATTTTCCTACTCAAAGTATTCTTCACTTTTGTAACTATGAATAAGAAATCATTTTTGCAAGGTTACACATTAATCCTTCATTTATAGGCCTACCCTTTACAATTTCATCCTGTTACCAAGGTTGTTTTAAAAAGAAATTCAATGAATCATTAAAAAGGAATGAGTAAAATGTTATGAATAAGTAGTTGAATGCTGTTATCAGCCATTCAATTTGCCATCAGTAGTTAAGCAAGCATAAAAAAAGACCAGAATTAAAAAAAATAATGATTATATTTTATATATGATTTAGTCACAGCTATTACATTTGTCCTTGAGGAAATAGAGGCAGATTTTTAAAAAGGACAAAATCAAAAGGAAAACTTCTGACTTAAAAATTTATTTTGGTATCCCATTTTGAAATCAAAGAGAATTTTTTTGCCACATTAAAATGTGAGTTTATACTTTTTCTTCTCCAGATAATTTTATGGTACCTTATAAAAGACACATTATGTATTCTTTATGTAATATATGTATCATATCATAAATATATCTAGTTTATTCTAGCCTACCAACTGCTATAGATGTAATACTATTTTAATGTTTTTGTGGCACCAAGACATCTTGTCTATTTTCATCAGAAAAATGATATATCCAAGATTTTCAATATGTGGTCATTATCTAAAATTTCAATGAGAGTTAGGAGACTAATGTAAAGATTATCATTCTGATTTTCTAATAATTATGATTGATTGTGTTATTTCAAGCTTAAAGTGAGTTTCATGTTTTTCAGGCTTCTTTTTTTTAAGAAAAAATAAATATAAATCACATTTCAAAATTCCTGTGTAGCAACTGCTCTTAGGGACTGATGATGGCCAACGTTTTGTGTGATTAGAAGGACGATCCAAGGTGATAATAATTCAGTCAATTATTTAAAAACCTTGACCTGAATATGGGAGAAAATTGAGTTGTTTCCTTCTTGCATTTAAGAATAATTTTCTAATACAGCAATTACATAGTATAAATACAGCGGAGTATTTTTAACTGATTTATATCTTGATTTAATGATGCTGAATGCATATATGGTGCCCATTTTAATTGCAGACATGAACATCAAAGAAATGGCATCCTCCTCAGAAGGTCAGATGTGTGATTGACCTTGATTTCATTGTGGCTGTTTTTGTATTTACTGTGGATTACATCTCTAACAAACAGAATCACGCAGCAACTTCATATAAACTCATGTTTTAATAATAGATCACGGTTCACATCTCATTTTTTTTGTACTCGCTTGAAACATTAAGGTTTACCATTTCAGCTACTGAATTACACAAAGCTTTCTTCATCGGTTTGAAGTTTCCATTGTGAATGTTCCTGATGATTGTGATTTTTCCCTTTCTTTTGCAGGTTTTTGTATTTTCATGTAGTTGTTTTAAAGCAGATGATCGCCTGTGCTTTGGTTTTCTTCATGTGATTTCTTATTGTATTTCTTTTCACAGATGAAGATGACACTTCAGTTAGTACTCCACCAGCAGGTTAGGAGTGTGGAAGTACTTATGTGTGTATGTATGTATGTATTTTTCTCTGACTGATTAATCAAGAAAGAGACCAAACCTCTGGACTGCTCTCAAAACACACTTACTAGAGAAAACGATTTTGAGGTTCTGCACATTCAATTAATCTCTATTCAGAAGTACAAGACCTTCATACCAGATGAGTTCTTTTCAGGTCCTGCTTTGAGATCTTCAGTATAACTTCTGCGTTGGAAGGTAATAATATATGACTTGGCATCCAAAGACAACTTCCCTTATCCATTCCTATTGACACTTATGGAGAGCCTTTTAAGGTTATTCCGGAGAGAAAATTTCAGAGTTACAAATCAAACAGATGCCTTGTGATTTCAAAATACTTTTCTCCACAAGCCTATGTGTTACCTCACCTTAGTCCCCCTGCCCTACAAGGCAGCTAGAAGACAGGTAGTTTGAATGTATCTCTCCATACCTTAACTCAGCTGACAGATAAAATATCTTTAGCTGTTAGCACACACACACACACAAAAACCAACAGCAAAGGGGTCCGTCACATTAGATGCACTGCAGAAAATCTGGATGTTTTCAGAAGTTGCCAAGCATGGTATTTGCTAATCCGTTTTCTAAAGATATTAGACTGTGAATGAAACAGAGGTTTTGAATACAAGGCTTTGCTGTGTGACAAACAAAAAATATGTTTTGAATCGTCATCACTGCCTTAAATGATTCTTGAACCATTCCAAAAGAATTGGGCTGAATCCTCTCAGTGGCAGCACAGTGGTTTACACTACCAGAAGACTTAATTGGTAAATACTAAAAATATAAATAACATTTTAAATCACTGACCCCTAACATTTCATTTTAATTTCATTTTATCAGGATTTTGTTCACCCTTGATAAATAAATAGAATGTTTAGAAAATTTAAAGTACTATCCTTCCCAATAAATAACGGTTTACAGAAAATCATCTGTTATCTCAAACTACACAAATTATGGGAAAAAATTATTAGCTTTATTGATCCCTTCTAAGTATGAGAAGAAAGTATAAAGGAAAGCATGGGTAAGAATTGAGCTAAACAACTAAGGCTTTTCTAGATAAAATGGGAAAAGAGATTGTCTTTTTTTTTTTGTATGTTGTTCACTTCTTTTTTTCTGGTATTCAAATATTTCCTCATGAGTATGGTCCTAAACATTTATTCTAATCCTCTTGCATGAATTTTTAATGTTCTTAAAAGGACAGTGTTGTGAGGTCAGTTAAACTGTGATCTCTGAACCGGTGTCATTTAAATTGCTCTTCCCTTTCAGATGGTCCCTCTAAACCATCGGAAAGAAAAGATTCAGGTGAGACTTCCTGAAGAAACTGCTGACACACTCCAATTCTTACATAATGCAATTATATATTCATTTGATTTTAATTTCACTTTTCATACAGCATCAAACTTTGACTTTAAAAATGCCTTCAAGTACCAGAGAAAATAGGTTTCCAGTAGGTGAACTGGAGTGAGAGAAGACTCTGTTGCACAAGACGTGTATTAATCTTTACACATACATACATACCTATCTATCTATATCTATTTCCATACGGATAGATACCCAACTATTCCCTTCCTCCTCAGCCTGCAGGGTAAGAGTGACTTACCTGGGAACTGGCTCCAGGAGAATGTAGGTGAATGGCTTCTTCTCACAGCTCACGGGACGGTGGGGAACGCTTAGCAAAGTCATAACCTCTTTCTTCCCACTCTGCCAGGTAACACATACTGCACCCAGTTTTGTGATTTCAGGATTTGCAGGCTCTGGAACTAAATGAGCAGCTGGTATTTCAACCATGGTTACTGAACTGGCATAGCTGACCTATGCCAGGCCCGCGAATCCAAGTCAAACCTATACTTTGTTCTGTTTGTTTAATAATTAGGAAAACAGAGGAGGCGGTAATCTGTGTGTTGTGTGGTGCAGGATTAATGACTCTCTGTGAGCTTCTTCCATTCTTTAATTTTTTTTTTTCCATTTCATCACGTGGTCTGTTAGGTTTGTTACTGCTCATGACCAGTTCCTGTACCAACATTGTCATATCATCACATTCGTTCTCATTTGTCACTCTCACTTGTACTTAATTTAAGTGTTTTCAGGTCCTACCATAATATACTGGCATAATCTAGATAGAGTACATATAGATATGTACCTATCTATGTATATGTGTGTGTGTGCATGTATGTCTGTGTATATGTTTTCATTTATGTGTGTATATATATGTGTGTACATGTAAGAAATATTACACAAGCAGACATATACAGAGTTATTAGGCACACTACCCATAATTCATTGAAAGATTGAAAGGCAAAGATTTTATAAGAGAAACATAGAGCATTTTTATACCTTTTTGAAGTTCCCAATTGACTTTAGTAAATTCAATTTGGTTTTATTTTTCCTTGATAGACCAATATGCCATGAACTGTGTTCCACTCATGTATGATGGCAATTTTCATGGGTTATAAAGGTTCCTTCAGTAGTAATCTTTACATACTGGAAATGAAATTCTTACTTCTGACAAATGAGTTTCTACATAAAATACTGAACAGAAAAGGAGACTTTAAATTTCAACAAGAAATGTGTGATTGGTTCATCTTATATGCTAGTTATGACACTAAGACCAAAAAAAAAGTGGATGAACTATAAAAAAAACTACCTTCTACTCAGAAATGATTATAATTCCAAGGAATACGAGTCTGATTTAAAAGAAATGACTTGTTTTGTCCAGTATGCCTGTGCATTTCTACATTTGCTGTTACAGGTGACTGTCTTTGCTCGTTCTCCCCTCTCCACTGGCCCTAACTCCTCAAACAAAAGAGCTACTGGCATTTGGACTCCACAAGTCCTCATATGCAATATGATACAGATACTTCTCCTCCCTGCAGAAAGAGAGCAATCAGACATTCCCCATGGCTTTTTGAGAAGCAGAAAGCATCAGCGCAGATCAGAGTTTTGCATGTATTTCCCCATGATGTAACTGTACAACACAAGGCAGGGCTGTTCACATAAGCATAGACATCAGAAACATATAGATGTGTTAGTACAGTTCTCTGCCTTAGGGAGACTATTCAGTTGCTTCTTCTCAGTATAATTTTTGATTCCAAAATCTCATTGATTTTCATGGGAGAAGGTGCTATGTTTGAACTTGTGCCCATTCACTTCTGACTAGTTACTTCCCTGTAAAATGTCAGTCTATGCACAGGGCAGGACATGTTACTGCTGGATGTTATTGATTGATACCCACAGTCTCTTGTTCTAGCACTGTAGAAGACAAATGAAATTTAAAAGTAAGCTTCTTCCCTGTCCTATTTTGCTAGGGAAGAGATAAAACTACTTTGTACAAGCAGCCAAATCTGGGATTGAGAGATACCTATAAAAGTCATGCATTGAGCCACCAAATGTGTTTTTGTTTGTGCTTACAGCTGTTTGTGTTTTCAGAACTTCCTTCTCAGGTTTCTGTTCTGGAAAACAAAGAGTTGGCTTTTGTGTAGAGCATCTGTGAACACTCATGGTTGAATGCTGGTGCCATTCAAATCGCACAGTGTCTGCATTCACTGATCAGGTTCCTCTGATAGTTTCATCTACCACCACAGAGATTCTTGCAGGAACTGTACACAATATGACAGCCAAATAATGGATGTCAGTGGGAACAAAAACTTACATATCTTTCAGGATATGTGAAGAGAGAGGTAATAGGGTTAGAGAGTTTAGTAAGTCCAGGTAAGTATATTTTGGAGGGAGAGAAACATGTTCAGATAACTGACATTTTCTTCTCTCTCTGCATATCAGTATGGTCTATTGGAGAAGGAACTCCAGAAGAGACAGAAAAACGTGATGACTCCCAGAGATCCACTTTATTCATTGAAAAACCTCAGAGTGGTTCAGTGAGTGTTGGTAAGTTCTTAGAAACAAAATCAAAGGATGCTTCCAGAAAGGCAGAGACTGAAATAGAGACTGGAAAGGCATGTGCAGTTCATATAACAATCAAATTCCTGCCTCAGTGACAAGTAATTCCACTGATTTCAGTTGGGCATGAACCCTAGTCTTCAAAGGCAAAACAGGATGTAACCAAATGCTTAATTGAAAACAAACTTGAGAGCTCATAGAGTTTACTGAGAGCAAAACCTAAGACAGTTTCTGAAGAAGGTGAATATAGCTAATTCATATTAGCTGTAATGTTACTGATGCGACAGGAAGATCTGCTGAATGGACTGCAGTCTAGTGTAGAGATTCCCAGTCTGTTTTTTTGTGCTCTACAGCTATGTGTAAATTAGCAAGTAGACCCAGAAGAGCAGATCCCTAGAGTGAAACACTTGGTAACAAGGATTTGTCACCAACACTAGAAGCATTCTGGAGGCTGTAGAGTGATCTAAATACCTATTAGCACAACTAGTAACTCTAGGAGTGCATCTTTTGTTTTATTTCCACCTTGAATCTTTTGTTCCTTGAGGAATCCAGTTAAATACCTCTCTGTGATGTAAAACAGAACAGTAGAAGGGGGTCAGTTCTGAGGTTCACTTCAAAACTACACTCCTGTACCAGACTACAATGTTATTGTAGCTGTACCCTAAGAACTGCATCTTAAGCAGACCAGCAGCAATGCTAGAGGTAGCAGTAAATGAAACTTGTACAATCATGACTGACCAACCGTGTGTTTCCCAATGTTTGAATTATGTTTTCTCTTTTTTAAAGGTGGGAATATTACCTTTATAGCCAAAGTAGAAGCCAAAGATCTCCTGCGAAAGCCAAATGTTAAATGGTTTAAAGGAAAATGGATGGACCTGGCCAGCAAAGCAGGGAAGCACTTGCAGCTGAAAGAGTCATTTGAGCGTCACACAAAGGTGTGTCTTTCCTTTTCCTTCTCAAAGAGGCAAAGCTTGCACATGAAGTTCTCAAGGATGCTCTCGGATACTGAGCAGAAACAGATATTCTGCTTTGGTGATGCAGGTCAAGCAGTGATAGGGAAATCGAAGTATTAAGTTGCTATTTGTGGGTTGCTTTTTCTTTCCAGAGACCTTTATTCAAGTTATTCCTGGCTTAGGTCTGAAAGAACAAATTTGCAGCAAATTTTAATTTGCGCTTTGTAGAAAAGCATCATCCACATTAACAAATAATTACATTTGTTTTTTAGATTCACACATTTGAGATGCATATCATTCAAGCTAAAGAAAACTATGCAGGGAATTACCGCTGTGAAGTATCATATAAGGACAAGTTTGATAGTTGCTCTTTTGACCTTGAAGTCACTGGTAAGTTGGAATTATTGTCTAGCTTTTTAAAGATTTTTTTTCTTGAAAAAAAATCGCTCAAAATATTTCAAGGAAGCAATATTTTAAATGAGTTTCTTAGCATGGAGCAAAGACTGAGAAGTCTTTTAAATATCTGTGATTCATTATTGAAATGAACATCAGGATAGCTAATGACTATGTGAGACATTTAGGATTGATCTAAAAATTAGGTGAAACTGCCATTGGATTCAAATCAGGCTCTAGCAAACAGAGCAGAGAGCTAAGCCTAGGACTATTCAATTAGCGACATTTCCTCTGAAGAAAGAGACACGGAGACAGCCTAGTTCTCCACTGCTTTGCACCCCATTGAATCGTGGTATGATCATACACCTGAAAGCCTTTTCTTCTAGTTTGCATAAAAATAAAGAATAGTGCAATATATATAAGACTAGAGACTCATGCGTATGACTATTTCTGCACTATAAAAGGGCTTATTCCTGCCACCATTAATCCCCAAGCCCCTTACAGAGCAGTTCTGTCAGCACAACGGAGTACATGCATACCTGCACGACCAGGCTGAAAGGATAGATGTCTTCCCAAATTCCAGGGCCAGCAGCCAGTGGACAAAATAGTTGTTCACCCTAATAAAACATGCCTACCAAATTGCCTAGATCAGATTGTTCATTCATCAGTCCAGAGACACAGGCCACTCTTAAGGGAATATTTGGCAGCTGACTGACAGCCCAAGGAGCCGAGGAACGTGCGCGTATTCACGGGCTGGCTGGGCAGGGGGCCAGCGCTGCTGCACGCGTTCCCTTTCTGGCCATCAGAACCATTTAATTTGATTAGCTGGCACAAATGGGTAATTCACACGAGGGGGATTCGTCCTGGTGCCAAGAATCAGCATGAGTCTATGACTGTCCAGGAGAGTGTCTCTTTGGAGTTTATTTAGAAACTAAAAGGCAAAGCAGGAGAGAAAGTGTGGGGAAGGGGAAGAAAAAGGACAGAGCATGTGTATAGGCAGAAATGGATGCAAGAGAAACATCACAGATTGGTCTCATGCAGAAATGCAGAATGTAACTTAGAGAAACGCATTAAAAAAATTAGCTTCGCACTGAGGAGATTTGCTTTTAGCAGACCTTAATACCAAAGATGCACAAACAGGACACTGAACAAATTTCATGTGCCAAGATCAAACCTGCCAAGACATTTTTAATTCCTGTATTGTTATTATTCCATAGAATCTTCTCAGGCTGCTCCATCTATTGACATCAGATCTGCTTTCAAAAGAAGGTAACCTCAAATGTTGGTCCTATGGCGTTCCTCGGTAATGGATGCTGATAGTATGTACAGAGCTTGCCTCAGCCCTGGTGGATAAATACATTAAGTACTTTTTAATACAAGCTACATATGATATGAAATACTCTACTGTGAAACTACAGTGTCATTGCTTTAAGGGGAGGCGCATTATTCGAGACAGAATTAAATATTTCTTTCTTTAGAGTTTTTCATAATTCATAGTTTCATTCAGTAAAATATTCCACTGAATGTTACCTGAAAATTGCTAGCTATAGTACAAAAGTTCCTAGTTTCAGTCCTGTACTGATCAAAGGCAGGGACAAAATTCCCACTGATTCAAAAAGATAGGAGTTGATCTTATATTATCTTGCAGAAAAAGTGTTATCATAATTGTATCAGAAAAATTACATATAATATGTTGCAGAATCTGTACGATAAAGCATTGTCCTGATATCTTTTCCTTTGTTAGTCACCTTTGAGATGAAATAGTTATTAAAGCTAGTATAATGATTTCATCTTTATATTTTATGCAGAAAATGGCCTTGCTAGGATGGAATTATTTAGATATAGAATGTTTTCTAGACAGAAAAGGAATGCAATTTGTCAATTTACACATACAGGCAAATTTGTGACTTAGAGGTAATTGTTCTTATTAGAAGAGATGTGATTTAAAGAGTAAATACAGCAGATATTAAATTCAAGGTGCACTCCTTTCTTCAGCACATTTTTTTCAAGTGCAATGTTTATTCTGTTCAAGCTGGAGAAAATCTTATTTTGTAAGGGATACCCTGTGCAAAATTCGGGATGGAAACTTGGTATCATTTGACTTCACACTTGCAGGATTTTGCTCTTATTGTTTGCAAACCTTGAGGGTATTGCTTCAGTAATGTATTTTATGACAAGATTTTACTGCTTAACATCACATAATAGAAAGGGATGCACCTTCATAAGACTATGATTACATTCGTATAAATGTACAATTTCTGCTCTTCTTTTTTTAACTGATTTCTTCCTTCATTTAGAGAGAAAGGTTAAATCTTAAGTGTATTGCTTCGCAATCTGGTATTTGACATGGCTATGCATTGTTAAATGCATTGCACACAGCAGTGCAAATCTTTGTTTTACATTCATAGCAAAGATCAGCACAAGCCCTTTGTTTTTATATGCGTACACTTCTGAAATGAAAAACAAAGCTCTTTGTGTTGACTGGCTTAAATTTATTTGTGTTACTGAAATCTAACACAAATCCTGGCAAATTTATGTATAGAATTACAAAAATTTGTCATCAAAGTAAAATAGCAAGCAATACAAACCTTTGTGTTATTTTTCACAAGTGCCAAAGGCAACATAACTTGTGTGAAAAAGAATACAAGTTTGTGTTGATTTTACACCATAAATTGTGTGTCTGGACAGAGTTGTGTATGAGAGAGCAATGTGTGTAGAGCGTTTGCAGTGTGTGTTGTCCAAATCTTTCTGTATTAAACAAAGATTTGATCTTTTTCTATTAATAACAGCGGTGATGGACAAGACGATGCAGGAGAACTTGACTTTAGTGGTCTCCTGAAACGTAGGTGAGAACCAAGTGATGCAGTGAGCAGGTGTGGATTGCAAACCATTAGGTTCGCACACAGAAAGAGTCAGGTGTAGCATTAATAACTTAAGAATTTTGTGATTTTTCATTCTTCTCAATGTTTCTAACTATCATTCTCATAAAATAATATGCAAATGTTCAGTTAATTGTACCTGTAAGTATGTGTGCGGAAAAGAAGCCTCAGATCTGACTGTATCAGGAAAAAAAGTGAGCTACAAACTAGAGACCAATAACATTTAGTTCACTTGCTACTTCTTTTGTGTTTGCATGAAGGGTAGAGGTAGAGAATTTCCTACACAGGGATGAGCATTTCAGAAGTACAGTTTACAGAAGTAAAAAATTGCTGGTGTTAAATTTACCTTTTTGGTACATCTTAATTTGATTTTCATAAACATCCTGAGATGAAAAATCATATATATCATGGTTTCAAAACATAGAGAATGATATTAATTTCTTGTCCATTCTGTTTCAGTATGTGCAAACAAATGTACAGTGGTGGTATATTCAATTTTAATGCAGTGATGAGGAAAAACTTGGGCATATGTTTCTCTGGTTCACTTTTAAAATATGGTATATGGTGTTACCATAGTTATATCTCCAGCTGTTTCAGACCGTAGGAGCAGTTAATTTATTAATAAATTAGAACAATTCATGGTGAGGAAAATTTCACTCAACCACCTGTATCAAGTCATTTCCTCCTTTTTTAAATTTATTTATCACAGAACTCACAAAAAATAGATATATATCACAGAAATCAATGACAGTTGAAAACAGAGACCTGGAAAAATAACTAGGTCTTTTCTTTTACCTCAATTTACTCTGAAAGTGAAAAGTACAACATACAGACTTAATTACATAAAAGTTCACAATGTGCTTAAACAGGTCGCATAGAGAGATTATGGAGTCTCCATTCTTGCAGATATTCAAAAACTATCTAGACAAGGCCCTGGGCAATGTGCTCCAGGTGACCTTGCTTGAGCAGTGGAGGTTGGACTAGATGATCTTCGAAGGTCCCTTCCAACCTCAGCCCTGCAGTGATTCTGTGAAGTATGATGGCAAGGATGGTATTTAAGCAACTAAAGAATCTATCTGGTTTCTTACAAATGAAAAAAAAAAAGTCTAGTGCTGAAATCACTGCTGTTAAGTAAGAGTTAAAAAGTTAAACAACTGCTTTTAAGCAAGAGTAAAGTGATGGGAAAAGTAGGAAAACTCAAAGTGAAAGAATGATGTGAACTGACCCAAGTTCCCCAGCTCTTTGGGGTTTTTTTCCATCTTCTCATCCCTAATTAGGATCTTCAGTTTGACATTTTATCATACTAATACATCCTACCATGACAGTTCTCCTGACTGCCTGGCCTGTGGAGTGTTTTATTGGTAACAAGAGGTTTGCATGCAAGGTGTCTTGGTGTTCTTCTGTAAAATGGGTCATGATCATATCATTAACAAGTAACTCACATGCTTATAAGATAAATACAGTACAGCACACAAACGTAATATAGCTATTGTGTGGTTAATGGGCAAAGAAAACTTTCAGTTTTTAAACATCATTATTTGATATTGGTTAAACGAGTGTGTGACTGCCTTCCTTCAAGCACTGAAATGCAACCTTATTTCTTAAGAATAAGAAGGTGGGTTGTTACTTAATCCCCAGTGTGGATATTAATATCCGTTTTTATCAGGACAATTTAGCAGGTCAATTTTTCAGTTAATTTCAATTTTTAAGGAAGCAACATGACATTCTGAAGGTGTATACCTTTTTTGTGTGTGGTTATATTACCAAAGAAAGAGTTAGAACTTTTCACCTGTGGTGCATAAGTACTTGAAATATGTTTTTTTTAAAAAACCTAAATGACAGATTCTATATACTGCCTCTTTTCTAATTTCATGCTGGTCTTGCAGGAAGATAAAACAGTTCTTATCTCAGTAAGACAGTGATGACTGGTTATGCTTTGTCAATGCGATGGGCCATTAACAGCACGAAATTCTGAAAGGCACAGGATTTCAAAAACACTCATACATTTAGGTCCTTTTTTAAAAAAATACATCTTTCAACAAAATGCACCTCTTCAGGGAAAAGATCTGAAAGAGATTTTGAGCTATATCAATCTGGTTAAAAAATGCTTGCCCACTACCCACAGCAGAAATTATTGTGGAATAATGTTCGTTTGTTCTAAGTGTCAAAATTTGTCCTCCAGTTACGCAAGAGGAAAAAGAGTCCAAAGTAAATTATTTTAAACTGGTTGAAAATTGAGATACTCTAACCGATCCTCATCCTCAAATATCTCCTGACTTAAGGGGGCAAATTGTCTTGAGTCACATGGATATGTGAGTGTCACCCTCCCTAGCATGGATAGGAGTTGCATGACAAGCAGCCAGCCCTTGAGATGACACTTCTGCCCCATAGGGTATGTCAGGTTTTACATATGTTTTCAAGCTGATTTTGACCACTACCAAGCAGAAGGAATCTCCCTGAAAAGACAACAGTAACAGTACATATTCTCCAGAAATCATGAGTGCAAACAAAATACAAATTGCATTCAGGAAATAATGTCTAAGAATTATTCAAAGAGAATGATGTAAGTATTTCAAAGACTCCTCTGTGAGAAGTTCTTTATTTTTTTCTTTTTAAAAATAAAATTGAAACATTAGTGAATTTAATAAACCTCATGGCCTAAACAACGTAATCTTTTTTCCATAATTACTCATCCACCTATGCAGGGATTCTCAGGGATCCCAGTGCTACTTTCTATATTTCTATAAACAAAAAGTTTCCCTCTCTGACTTGATAGATCTCAGCTCTAAAAATATCTCTCTGCAAAGCTCCGTCTTTTTTTATTTCTTAAGTATTCTTAAATATATTCTTAAATATAAGTATTTTCTCACTCTGACACCAAAAGTGCTTATCTCATTAGACCAGTGAAATTAAGTCAGAATGAACCTGGTTTGACAAACTTATAGACAACAAGGTCAAGGTTTCTGCTGCTCTTCCTGGATCATTTTCTTAACCGTTTACTTTTTTTGAGCTAAGCTGTCAATCTGAATAATAATCATTTTATTTAGGATGTTTCCATTATTCTTCCATTTAATGGATGTCCTGGAAAATAATTATCTGTTTTTCACTGTTTGTCTTAGCTCAAGTATAAATTTTGAGGTTGTATACACTAAATGTGGTATTCAGTCTCTATGTAAAGGTGTATAAGGCTCTTATAGTCCAATATATTCATCTTGCATGTTCAGGTTGGTATGGAAATCCTCAGTTCCTATCCATATGCCAATTTTAAACAAATCTGATAAGCACTGGTATAACTATAAATTGAATCAGATTCTCTTGGATTTCAATATGTCCTTTCACAGGTCACCACAAGTAACAGATACAGGGACACAGGTTGGATAGCTTTTTAACTTAATTATGAAATTATGAATGGATTAGGCTGATTGCAGATGAGCTGTCATGAATAACTGATTCCTTTGGAGTTACAACAGATAAAACTGATTTAAGGAGGATTAGCCCACTTACTATTTTAGGGTTATATTATGAAACTGCTCTTTTTTTTATAATGAAGAAATATAAAAACTCTCCTAGTTGATTACATCAGAGAAAACTAAAACTTGTGTACAAATTCTCCTTAAACTTTGAAGAAATATCAACTAAGACTTGAATTCCCTTGCTAATAGGCCTTTGGAAGGTCTCTCTTCAAAGTGAAAATAAAAAAGTCTTCAAATTTTGACGAAAACATTTCTAACCTCATGGACTCAGTTCCACTTTTTTTCTCATGTGATGAGGCTTCACTAACTCTTTTCCCACAATTTTTTTTTGCTATTGTTAGGGAAGTTAAACAGCAAGAGGAAGAACCTGAGGTAGATGTGTGGGAACTCCTGAAGAATGCTAATCCCAGTGAATATGAGAAGATTGCTTTTCAGTATGGTATCACTGACCTGAGGGGCATGTTAAAGCGTCTGAAGCGCATGCGCAGGGAGGTGAAGAAGAGTGCAGGTATGGATAAGGCAGAATATTTTTGCATTTCATAGTCAAGCATGAACTTTACAACGCCCAATATACTGCATTTTGATATAAAGTGTGGGAGAGTGAAGCCTGCCCCGGCTTGCATGCTACCTCTCCAGCCCTCTCCATGAGACCACAAGGAGTTAATTAGAAGGTCTGGTCCACTGAAATTGGTGTAAACACCCCGTCCCATTCAGTGCCTAGCAAAAATACTCCTCTCAGCCACACAGTAGTTTTTACGAGAACAAAGTCCCCATTTATGTGGAAAAGTTGTGCTTGATTAAACAAGAGTAATTAGACCATGTGTTATCAGTAATATCTTCTGCTTTAAAATGAAATAATTCCAAACATATCCTTTTTTTCTTCACTGTTTCATTTTGCACTTAACTTTGGCATTTAAGTGAACTCCCATCTGGATTAAAAACCTTCCCCAGTGCATTGGATAAACACAATGAGAGCTGTCCCTCCCCATCTACCATACTGAATAATATGACTGGTGCAACACATACTTAAATATTGATATGAGTTCATATTTATGTGCATTTATATATATGTATGTATAGATATATATGTATATATTGTGTAATATGTATACACATAAATAAACATAGAAACACTACACATTGTCCACAATAATATTCTGGCCTTTGCTTGTTCCTGGAGAGCATTTCAAAGCAGGATGCAGCAAACATCTGCTGCTCCGCCATTTTCCTGGAGGCTTCCCTTTCGTGTAGGTGAGATCCCCCACCTTGCATGAAATGCAGGACTCTTCCCAAAGGAAAGGAAACGGGGCCAAAAACTTCTTATGCCATGCTGGTTCTTACCCCTTAAGCCAAGCATAGGGACCTATGGCAAATGGGTGAACTTCAAGCTACTTCTGTCTCCACGCTACTCTGACTTCTGCCAGGGAATTGGCCAACAGTTGGCTTGTGTCAGAAAGAGGTGAATATGAAGACAGCGCAAAGCTATTTTTGCTAAGTGTTTTTGGTTCTGCACTGAATTTGATGTAGCCAGACCAGATCTGGTGCAGTATCTTGGTATGTAGATATGTGTATTCCAGCTTGATTTACATTCTTAAATGAAAAATAAGCTTGTATTTACTCAGTTTTCTTAGGCAATTTGAACTGATTTATAGCCAATGTTCAAAGATCTATACTTTTTTCTTGCTTTTAAAATAATTTGTTTTCTGACATTCTAGTGTACAAACTCATAAAGAGAGAAATATATATATTTCATATAGATCTTTTCATACTGAAAAGGTCAGTATCCCGTTTCTGTTTTCTCTCTCCTCAAAGGAGAATAAGGAAACGTTCAGTATAAAATAAAAATAACTCATTTAAAATTATGGAATTTAAATCTTTGTATCTTTTAAAACATTTAATTAACTTAGAATTTTCTCATCCAAAATATGTTGTTGAGACACAGCCTGCTTAAAATAGACCGTAAGAGTTCATCTAGGAAATAAGAACACATCTTCTCTCAACAAGTACAAAGTTAGCATAAAATAGGCCACAGTAATCCAGCTGCCTGACAAACCCTCTCTCCTTCTCTAACACCAGAGGTGTGATGTTACACATTAATTTTTATGGACATCTTTTTGCATTTGCTGTCATATCTGATTCTGGTCACTGTTGAGGGAGGAAGAGGAATGGACATGACAGGCTTTGGCTGAGCAACTGAGGCAGTTTCTCTGTTTAAGGGTGCTCCCTTAAAGGGTGGAAGATGGAGAAACTCCTCATCAACCCCCATGGGCAGGAGGAATGGTGGAAGCTGGTGCAGGAATTGCACAGCTGACAGGAAAAACTATTCCCTGTGCAGATGCATCGCATAGATGTGCTGGGATCTTGGAAAGGAGTAGCCTTGAGCCACCAGGACTGCTCTGTCTGGTCCTTCACCTGCAGTTCTCCACTGAGTAGGGTGGTGTTGCCAGTCATATCAGGATTTTTCAGTAGACAGGGTTTTCCCTACTGTAGGTGGTGAGGGAAATGTGTACTGTACTGACTAGGTAAGAATAGCTTTTTTTTCCCTTCACACCGTCTTTCATTATCGATTGAAATCTGTTACACTGCAGCCAGATAGATAATAAACCCTGATCTAATTCAGTAGTTCTACTCCTGCTCCTACCAATCACATCCCTTGCAATCAGATATATGCATGCTATAAACCTTATCAGAATCTGCTTACTTAGCTGTGGAAATTTTCTTTGCAGCAACATTTATTTTTGATTCACTGAATATATATTCCTTTGGGTTTGACTGTTATGGCTGGCCATAACTAAAAAGTCAATGTTAACGTGTTTTGAAATATTAGAGATGTACCTGTCTTTTACCTTGCCCAGTGGCATACTTTTGCATCTCAAAGTCTTTTTGAAAAGCCCTACTAGAAGTCATCCATTAACAATTTTTAGTCAGTTTTAAATATTTTTTGCAAATATTTCACAGCTGCAACATTTATCATAAGTGGAATTTGCACCTTGCAACCAACAGGAAGAATCAGGAAAAATAATTTGGGTTTTACCCGCACCAGTATGTTTATTTTGATAGTGAGAAACTGAATAGGAGCTAAAAAGTTTTTGCTTTAAATTCCCAATTACACAGCAGTACTAATAGAGATCTCCTACATAACCGATTCATTGTGAACAATCCCATAGGACCAGCTGTACAGAGTTTAATTTTGACTTAGTGCTTCTCATCAGGCTATTAAAAATATGTCTATGTACTGCTGTCCAGAATACATCCGCACTGCAAAGTCATATAGAGATACAAGCTCAAACTCAGGGATAATCAGATCAGCATAGCTCTGTACTTTGGCTAATACTGTTTCTGGCACATAAAATGATTCATTTGGACTTCTCTAAAAATGTGGGGCAATTCATAATGTATGTATTTTCTGGCATCATTGATGAGATTTACGCAATGTACTTTCAGCATTCATATTGTCTTTTGTTTCTCATATTCTTTTACAATAACACTTGCTTTTTAAACAGCTTTTGCCAAAGGTCTTGATCCTGCATATCAGGTAGACAAGGGAGGTAAAGTGAGGTTTATGGTGGAGCTGGCAGATCCAACAGTGGAACTGAAGTGGTATAAAAATGGCCAAGAAATACGACCAAGTGCAAAGTAAGTGGTTTTACTGAATGTAAGTGATGTACAGCTAGTCACAGCATTTCTGTTCCTCAAATATTGCTCAACAGCACAAAATCATAGCACCTTTCTCTTCCTGATCCTATTAAAAAACAGCTATTAGCAAAAGCACTGCTATAGAGAACAGCAAATTTTCTTTGTTCTCTTGCTGCATAAGTCAATGGAAAGACTTGGAGTAGTATTTCTTATAAAATATATAATAAAGAGGGTATCATTTCTTTACTCCCTTTATCTGCCAGGCAGTTCAGAACTGTTTCACAGGCAGATATACGGATCCAGGAGGACCTGGATTGGATACCCGAGTGCATTTCTTCCAGGCTGCTGAAGCAGCTGTCAGAGGCTAATGAGCTTTGGTCATTTCAAACCTGGAGCAGATCTAAACTGGTGACATAAAGGTGAAAGCCTCCATATCCTGTTACCGAAACCCCATATCCCATTACTGATCTCTTGTGCCATCTGGCCTACCAATAACAGCAACTTCTTAACCTCGGCTATTATTGTACTTTATAAAAATGCTAAGAGTGCTGGAATGAAGATGGTCTCCTGTTACTCGTTATTTTCATCATTACTCATCTAGAGTTTCAGGCACCATTTTATTTTGCCATCCTTCAGACCACATTATTTTTTAATTTTTTTTCATATCATCCAGCCTGTTATTTTTGAACAAGGTGTAACATGCAAGTTGTCACTCTACCCTGTAGATTTCTTTTTTTTTTTCCCCGAGTCTATAATGTCTTGTCCTCTCTGTTGTATACACTGGAATTTTCATCTGTAATATTTCCTAAAACACTTTCTAGATAAAACAAAAGATGTCCATTTTGCTAATGCATCTTTCCTGTTTGAACAGATACATTTTTGAGCACAAAGGTAACCAGAGAATTTTATTCATCAATAACTGTACAATGACAGATGATGCTCGCTATTACGTAACAGCTGGTGATGAGAAATGCTCCACCGAACTGTTTGTGAGAGGTATTTGCATCTGCTTGTTCTTATTTCATAGCGTCACCAAGAATTGGCTTTGTCTCATTGACTGTAACAGGAATTAACAGGGAGGCTGTGACTCGGATAGATTTGTATTAAGAGTCTTTAGAAGCATTCTGTGTGCATTTCTGTGATAACTAGTTTTTCCTTGTCCTTTATTTATCAATTTAGCAATAATTCTGAAATGGGATTTGGTTGGTTTCCTGCTACACACTGGAATCTGATTAGAATGTTGGCCCCCTTCATAGTTTCAAACTCATTTTGGAGACTCACTCATCACAGTGTTGGCTTTCCCTAACAGCACATCAGACACCTGATAATACTGATACTCTTGATCCAACTGATCTGTTTCAAGTATTCTCAGACCAGTCTTTCCATCTGTTATTTTTAGTTCCATGTGTCCAAATTTAAGGGAGGACTCTATCGAAAGCCATGGCTGGATGGCCAGTTCTATACCCTCTTTCCTCCCGCAGTGATGACAGCCTTATTGGCAACATTAATGGTGTCACTCTCACATTCCCAACAAACTGAGTATGAAGGGATTTCTTCATTAGAGGTCCTTTCGAAAATGATTGGGGAATCCCTGCATTAAGGAAAATAAAACTTAAAGTGAAAGAAGATATCACATATTTCTGAAAGCTACTTAAAATGATGGATCCAATTGCACCTATGAAAACAGTAGTGTAAGAGTTGTAGGTTCTCTTGCTATTAAATAAACTTGGATTTTGACCACAGAAATGGGTTAAGCAAATAAAAGCACAGTATTATGTCATATTATTGTGCCTAACAGCTTGCAAGACCTCATGAAAATGTCATTGTCTGAGAGGGATATGTGTGAGGCAAGGGGGCGATCTTGGCTTCTCATATTGACTTCTAAAAATGGTCACTAGAAAAGGACCCAAGACAGTGTTTACAAGAACAAAATATTTTTTAATTCTCCTTTCTTACTTGCATGTTAACAGGCAACCTCCTTTCTGATAGGAAAAACTGTCCTAAGACTGACATTAGAATTTTTAAGTAGTGTCAATCTCTATAGCATGCTTTTGAAAAACCTCTTTTACTGAGCTTTCTCTCTGATATTGTAAATCTGTAAATTTCTCTTGCCAAAGATCCTCCAATTTTGGTGACCAAAGGCCTTGAGGATACCAATACCTATGTTGGTGAACGAGTAGAACTGAGCTGTGAAGTGTCTGAAGATGATGCAAATGTGAAATGGTAAGCTACATTTTGAATAGATATTGAAAATAAAACTCAAAATACCTTAATTGCAGGAAAAAAAAATGTGGACACCTTGTTCTATATTGGTAAACTTCTTTTTTACAGAAAATCTCAGAAAAAAGTGTATTTAAAAATGCAACAAAAACAAAAATATGCTTACACATTCTTGTTTTAGTTTGTTTAAATTTTTGCTTTAAGTTTTAGTAAAGTCTCTGGAAGCTTCAGTCTGTAGAAGTTGTATCCACTCAAGATTTTTATTGAAAAAATGATCATTTTTTATTTTCTGTTAGGTTTAAGAATGGTGTGGAACTCACCAATGAACCCAAATCTCGGTATCGAATCAAAGTTGAGGGTAAAAAACATACCCTGATTATAGAGGAAGCTGCAAAAAACGACACTGCAACTTACTCAGTAATGACAACTGGAGGCCAGTCGGAGGCTAAGCTTGCTGTTGATTGTACGTATAATACCTCTGCTTGCCTTTTCTTGGGGATTAAAGGGAGACATCTCCCTTATCTTGATTTCTTTGTTGCAGACCTCCAGGACCAATGACTTTGCTTTAGACCCTGTTTGCACTACTAGACAATGACCTAGTCCTTGCTGAAAACAATCTGTCGCTGTGTTAAGATGGGAAACAAAATTATCCATACGAAGTTATGATGAGTCAACAAAGTGAATTTTTTAATTGAAGTTAAAACAGTTAGCTTCTCACAGGAAAGCAAACCAAGGCTTTTAGGTGAAAAGGGAATAGAGACACAAATCTTTCACATGTAGGATGCTGTGGGAACAGAGACATTCTCTAACACCTAAATGCAAGAGAGGGAACAGAATTCAGATATGCTTCTGGCCACAGTTTTTCACTGGCTCTAATCCATGGGTTATCCTCAGTTAGGGCCTGGGTATTTTAGATAACCTTTTTAAAGCAGTAGGCTATAGGGAAATTAAACATGAAAAGAGGTTAATTTATATGTACATATTACTGGTATTTGGACTTGTGAGACTTATTTATTAGTATATATGCTGAAAGCAATTTTATGACTTGCAGATTACTGTGATTGCTAGTAACAGCTCTGTGATAGAATTATAAACTACTATTTTTACATTAGCATTAATATCTATGCTTCTGTTTTCCTAAGTGAGACCATTGAAAATATCCCTTGCACTAGAAGACCAGACTGTGAGGCTGGGACAGGAAATCCACCTGAAATGTGAGATATCTGAGAATGTGGAAGGGAAGTGGTACAAAAACGGGCAACTGGTTGAAGCTAGTGACCGTGTAAAGCTTTATCACAAAGGAAGGTAAGCACATTGAGCATTGACTTGTGATGAAGTGACATTGTAATGATTTGCCAATGTGTGGGTTATTTCACTGAGATTTATTTGGTTCTCACACTTAAGTCTCTGTCCTTCAAACATTTTTATACTTATCATCATAAAGGCCACACTCCTTGCTCCATTTCAGCTTGTGTCTTTTGGTTGTAGGGGATAACAGTCACATTTCTTGATTCATCTACATTCCACGTGTTAACTTTTCTTGACATTGCTGTTGCCGTTAGCATGGAACATTAGGTAGCAAGGGCAAAACAATTGTTAGACAATGCTAAAAATATATAGCTTAAAAATGCCTGTTTTTGTTCATGTCAACCCAGAATTCGTATCTCTACCAGGCAAAGTATGTGGGGGTTATCAGTTCCCTTTGCACTTGCGATCTGTCCTTTCCCATTAAAAAATTGTCATTTTTAAAAATAAAGAAATAAAAGGTCCTATCTTTAAGCACAACTCATGCACTTCAGCATGGAACTGACAGTTCATAAAGCTGGGGCCTGCACTTGTGAAGATGTTCCTGAACAGGCTATGAAGTGATCACATTGACCCCATAATACTTCTTGAGCCCCAATAATTGGGTAGTCTGGGCACAAGTGCTGGCTGTGCAGCAATCCCTTGCATTGACATAAGGCAAAGTAGCTTTCTACAAACCTTGAAGGACCACGGGATGATGTGAGGGGAGGAGAACAGTGAACAGTGAGTCCTACCTTAAACAAAGCTTAGCCTGAACAGTTGGTAGGAAAGAAGAAAAATCCTTCCATTCCTGGAAGACTCAGTTAGGTAATAGGACCATAATACACTTCACTCAAACCCTTTTTTACTCTGGCAAACCAACAGTAGATTGGATCCTGTCATGAAAATGCAGTCAGCAGAGAAGGACTGACAAAATTAGAGCATTCTCACAATTGGATCATCTAAACATTTCTCCACTGGCAACCTAATTGCTACCTAATGGCAGTAGTGCAGAAGATCTGCTATATCAAAGAGATTGCAATCCTGTATTTTTCTATTTTGATGTTTAAATAAAAATACTAAAATGGGTTGTATTATTTCATAGTCCTCTCAAAAACACAAGATAAAAATCTCAGAGTATTTAATTAGCTAAAATACCACTCAGTAGCCAGCAAAAGGATATATTTTTAAAATCTTACAGTCTTCCACAACTTTGGTGAACTTTTATCTTCACAGATCTCCCTACAGCCTCAAACAGTCTTCAAAGCATGATTGACAGGGATTTCTTTCTCAATTTTTCACAGAATCCACAGATTTATTATAGCAAGTTCTGCTGTTGATGATGAGGGTGAATATATGTTTGTACCAGATGCCTATAATATTAATATTCCATGCAAAGTACATGTTGTAGGTAAGTATATGCACAGCAATTTGTAACATTTTCTTTGTCTGACATGTGGCAAGTAAAACCAGTGAAATATCCTTGCTTTCAATCTGTCTGTTTCATGGGTGCCTGTCACATAGAACAGATCTGCTCCCTGCAAGTAAGTGCAAGTAAGCTGAGTGGAGAGTGTTTTGCTTGAGTATAGGATCTGATTTGCAATCCTGTTCCTAAGGATGAAGAGAATGTCTTTGAGGATGAATTCCTAAACATAAACCAGCATTAAAAGTTTGTATAAAATATCTGTGGCTCTCCTCTCTTCATAAACAATATCGTGTTCTTTGAAGAGTTGGCTTGCTGACATTTCCAAAAAGAGAACTTAATTTGGTAAAGAACTAGTCAAGTAATACATATATATCATGTATACCAAATACATTAGATAATAACTAGCATATCTAGTGTTTCTGACCAACTTTTATTTAATTAGAAAAAGAAAAGTTGTTTTTATATGAAAAATAAAAGAAGGCATTGTTTTACACAGCTGTACAGAGCTGTACTCCATTGGCTAAAGCCAATCTTTGAAAGCAAACACTAAATTTTAGAACTTTGTAGTCTAAAAAGTAGCAATATAGTGGCCAAACGGTTAAATAATGTATCTGAAGCTGAAAGATATGGGTTACCCATGTTAGAAATAATACTGACCAGGGTGAAAGAGTACGGAGGAGGAAGAACTGGAGTATTTGAGCATATTGGCGGAATAAGCTCACAGACATAATCTTCCAAACATGAAAAAATAAATGTAAGATGTTTGCAAATTTTCTTCCAGACAAAAGAACGATTGAATAAAATGTTCTGAAAATCCAAAGCCTTGAAAAATCTTCTTTCTTTACATCGCAGACCTGTTCTCAGGTCTCTGAACACTCAAGAGTGGCAGCTCCATGATGCATTCGATAATCTCTCCATTTTCAGATCCTCCTAAACTACACCTAGATGGTCTTGGGGAGAATAACACTGTGACAGTAGTGGCAGGAAGCAAACTGCGACTTGAGATCCCCATCACTGGCGAGCCAACTCCAAAAGTCATGTGGAGTAAAGGGGACAAGGTACATTCTTAACTCTATGCATGTTTCTTTAGCTTGACAAGGGGCCTTTTCCTTCAAAAAAAAATTATTAGTTTGGTGAAGCTACTGATTTTAATGGCAACATGTAACAAGGATATATGTTTTATCTCAAAAGCTACTGTCAGTCAAAAATGAAGAGTGAAATTGAATGTATCATTTACTATCTTTCAGATGTTTCTGAGGAAAGATTGCAATTATGAGGGAAAATATGGTGTGCTATAAATAAATTGTTAAGGAAAGGGATATCTGAGGTGCAGTGGAAACCTAGTGACAATCTACCAAATGGCTCCTTACTGTGAACATTCTGCATAGAAGGACTTTGACAAAAAGCCATAGCATGGCCTGGTTTTGGAGAATGAATAAATTATCATGGAAGATTAAGTCTGGAATAAAACAACAGGCCAAGCATGCGTCTTCTAATGTCTTATTGCAAAACTTTATACGGATCAATCTCTGTCTGTATAATAATACCAAAATCCAGACTTTTCACACTGACATTTTCAGTGTGCCATATTGAAATTGGAACACGCTGTTCTTGTGGGATTCATCAAGTCAAACCTGTAATTAGTGTCTTTCAAAAATTAACAGTAGAATCAACACTGTGGGCTTGTCCAAATTAGAAATTATTCTAAGATAGCTCTTACTACAAAATAAACGTCATGAATTGAAATCAGTCAGGGCAAGCTACTGACATTTACAATCACTCCAGCCTGTAAATGAATCACATTTCATTCTGAAAGGCTCTTTGGAGAATCTAGGACTCTCAAAGCTGGAAAAAAAAAAAAAAACAGTAGTCATCAAATTAAGACTAGATACTGTTGATCAAAGCATGTTTTGTTCATATAACAAGAAGGCCATATAGTGTCTCTTGCTTTCAGATACAATGGCAGAATCGAGTGTTAAACAATTAAAGTATCTTGAAATTATTTACTCAGTCCCTCAGTTCTTTTGTCATTTTTATGAGGATCAAGTGCTTGAAATTCTCAGCTTTCATATTGTTTATCTTAAAGTTGCTTTATTCGTTTTGTGAAAGTGTTCTGTATTGCATCTGGATTAAAATTTTTGTCCATTTTGATTCCTAACTCAGAAAAGTTGACTTTTACCTCTGATTACTTTGATTCCTAGTGGATCACAGACAGTGGAAGAATACGGGCAGAAACATATCCAGATAGCAGCTGTCTGGTTATTGATACAGCTGAGAGGGAGGATTCAGGTCCTTTCAGAATAACGTTGAAGAATGAGGCTGGAGAGGACACAGCTCTGATCAACATCAAAGTGGTTGGTAAGTCACATGGGACAGTGCACTGAGGTGATGTTTTTTGTCACAGCTGTTTTCAGTGAATGTTCTTTGAAAGATACTGCTTTTTTTCTGCACCCAAACAAGGGCCAAATTCTTGTTCCTACAGCCAAGGGGCTGTTATCGTCCCTAGATACCTAACTGTTATAGAAAACCAATTCCTTGGTTTTCCCCATTTTCAGGTGTGGGATTGAGGTGCAAAGATACTAAGATCCAGAGCTACTCTTGGACACTTACAATGGGATTTAAGCAGGAGTTAATTATCAACCTGCTGCTGCCTTATGCTGCAGGTGCCAGGATTTTGTGATTGTCCCAGGCTGATGCTGACATTCTCTAGGTAGCTACAGGCCATGTCTTAGCTCATGCCCTCAAGTGCCTCTCAAGTGTCCTGACTACGCTCAAGGGCTTGGCAGTTATCCCTTACCAACCTCCTGCCAGAATCTACAGAGATCTTTCTCTCCCTCTCTCTTCATTAGGCACACCTAGATCATGTCTATCAAATCAGTACCCATATGTAATAACACAAGAACTGCTTACTTAAAAAAAAAAAAAAAAAAAGTGAGGACTGCTGCTGACAGTTCCATCACACAGTAGCTTGTTAGTCAAAGGACCTACTCTAGACGGGCAAATTAAAGTTTCTTTCTCAGCCTGAAGGGCTACCTCCCCTGAAAATGCCTAACGCATTCAGCTAAAGAGCTCAGCAGTCTTATCACTGAAAACAGCAACTACGCAAAGAAGAAGTTGAGATGCACAGAGAAAGACAATGTGAAGCCAGAGAACTATCTGCAGCCTAAGCTCTCTATCTTAGGGAATTAGGTACAATGAGTTCTGTGTGTACAAGGCAGACTTCTCTGCATTATTAAGGTGCTTCCTTAATGGAGGTTTCCTTTCCACATGAAGGTGCTTATTGCAGAAAATGGTAATTTGGTAGTATAAGGAAGAATTTATGACCTTTTCCTCTTGTTTCTCCACTAGTTAGCCTATATAGCTCGTTGTTCAGCCTTTGTGTGATCCGTACTAGCACATGTAATGCCCCTTATGCATTATAGAGAAAACCTCCACTGTCTTAGGTCACAGGCTTTTGGTGTAAACTATATATGTATTGGTAAAATGAGGGATATGACACCAAAAACAGTTTAAATTCTCATGGCTCTGTGTGAGACCGTACCTGAGTTACTCACAAAAAGCCACAGTGGAAGGACAAGCAAAGCACATCTTCTCAAATCTTAAGGACATTAAACTGTGTTCTGTGCTTAGGAATAATTTGGTACAGAAAGGTTGAGTATGTTCACAGTGGCCATGTCTTTTTACTTACTGATCTACTGACCCGAATACTGTAGCTTACATTCTAGGGATGAGTTTTTGCTCCCTGATATTCTTTCTTATCTATGTGTTTAGCCTCCAGTCATTCATACTGTCTTGTCATCACAAGTGTACTTTTGTACCTGCTCCTACATTTTCTATTTCAGCGTAGCCCATTGCATGTAAAAACTTATTCATATTTCTTTCATGATTGGCATTTCTTATTTCAGCCTAGGGAAAAAAATTCAAAGAAAGACTCACTCTTTTCTTTTTATTCTATTTCCTTTATTGACAACAGATGTCCCTGATCCTCCTCAGGCACCAAATGTTACTGAAGTGGGTGAAGACTGGTGTGTTATGACCTGGGAACCTCCAGCAAATGACGGTGGATCACCTATATTAGGTAGAAGTTTTTTTTTTTCTTCTTCTTTTTTTTTTTGAGGTGATGCTCTAATATAGCGAAAAGAAACGGGCTCAAAATAATGGACCCTACACTATCAAAATTTGGCTCTGGGGTATTTCAGGCTGCGTAGTCCGTTGCAAAAGTGTTCTTTCCAGTCATAGATGTTATGAACTATGCTCTTTTCTGATGCTTTGAAATTTGTAATTTGCATGTTGCTCCTTCTCCCTATGGAATGGTGTTTGAAAGACAGTCTGTGCATTATTACAATACCAAACTTTGGCCCGTGGCTCATTTTGAATGTCAGCAGGGTTTCTGGAAACCGTTTACTGAGCTGATGAATATCTTCCCATACACTAAACAAAGAGCAAAGTCAGTGTGGCCAAGGGGCCAGTAAAATCAGACCCCTTTTCCTCCTGATCTAACACAACAGTGTTTTAAGTCGTCTGAAAATAAAAAGGCTTTTTTTTTTTTTTGATCAATAGGATATTTCATTGAAAGGAAAAAGAAGCAAAGCTCCAGGTGGATGAGGCTGAATTTTGAGCTGTGCAAAGAAACAACTTTTGAGCCAAAGAAGATGATTGAAGGTGTTGCTTATGAGGTCCGTGTATTTGCTGTTAATGCAATAGGAATTTCCAAACCAAGTATGCCTTCAAAGTCCTTTGTTCCTTTAGGTAAGTAAACAAGAATACAGAGTAGCCATGCATTTAGAAAAACCTCTTTGATATATTATTTCATCTTTTAGTTAGAATAACTGCAGTTCTTACACTTGTAATACCCTGGACTTGAACTTACAAGGTGCTTATCAATCACATATCTATCTCTGAAGAATTTTCATGCTGCGTATTATGAAAATGAGACATTTTTCAAATTTCAATACTTATGCATTGCTGTTACATAGTGCCATGCAAAAATAGTGCACATGTTCACAAATAATGAATACATTTTTATTCAAAAAGCAACCATACAAACTATTATAAATATATAAAATGTGTCAAAATTAAATGAAATTGCCTGCTATCACGTAAGTTCTATGATAAGGTACATCTGAATAATACCTAATTTTAATCTATGCTTCAATCGCCCACCCCCTAGTTAAAGAATTTCTAGCTTTTTCTTGGCGGGGGAAGGGTTGAGGGTGGAGGGAGGGTCATTTTTGTTTTTCCAGAAAGGGATCATGTATTTCACAGCATCCTTTTTTTTTTTTTTAAGATAATCTAAACCAGGCCAGACCATTTTAAAATCTTTTTATGTGCCCTGTTCTTATTTGTGCTTTAAATTACTATAACAACTGAGGTGTGGGGGAAGGTTTTTGTTGGCCTAATGACAGAGTAACCTGAAGAGTTTTCCATACAAAGAAATAGATTTTCAAGCTCCTGTGACAATGACAGGAGAAATGGTAAAGAAATGGTACCTTCCTTTGTCAGCCAATAGGAGCTTCTGCCCTCCCATGATACAGAAAGGAGGAGCAGAAAGGAGAAGGCTTTAGCACTAGAGTGTGTTCTCCTCTTGTGAGGAAATACATGCTGTTGTAGGGTATAGTAGGCAAATCTTTTCTGCTATAGCTTTCACTGCTCTTTGCCCTTCTCAGTCCCCAGCAGCAGGAGCCTGGCTCTCTGGATTAGGCCTTGCACTGAGTGAAGTACCTGTAATACACCATAAATGCAAAAATTTAACAATAATACAGTTTCCTACCTTGTTCCCCCATCCGCTTTTTTCAGCTGTTACCAGCCCACCGACTCTGCTGGCAGTTGATGGAGTGACTGATACCTCAGTTACAATGAAATGGAGGCCCCCGGACCACATTGGAGCAGCAGGTTTAGATGGCTATGTTATAGAATACTGCTTTGAAGGAAGTAAGTGACAATAACTATGGTGAAATACTAGTAATGAAAATAGGTGAGACTTTCTCCATCTTTTTCCTATGGATGGCAGGTGCTTTAAGGCAAAAATTAACTAGTCAAAAACCTCAAATTGCAGGATTTTGTTCAGTCTTCCCTTTAGTTTGCACTCCAGATCCCTCCTGTTACTGTGATGCAACCTCTCTTACACTTGGCCTGAAGAAAAAAAAAGAAAATCTGTTGTAGGGTTTTTGTAGTGTAGCAAGTACTGCGTGCCTCGTTTTCCTTTTCAGCAAAAGTTGAGTGCACTAGAGAGAGTAAATGGATGGATGGATAATGGATGAATGGATAGTGTCGTAATGCCTAGTTTATCATATTACTAACTGTCTGCTTCAAGTGACAGTTCACAATATAGAGCTCCAACAGCTTCCCCAATAGATGGCTATAGACATCTTCTAGTCAAGCAAACTCATGTCTGGATATTGGATTTCAGTAGTTAGATACAGGATCTATAACTACATCCATCTCAGATATAAAACTATATGGGAGTAAAAAAAGCTTAAAGATGTAAGAGACAGAATAAACTCAGGAGAATAAGTATTAAGTCATAGAAAACATATACTGTACAGCCACAGTACAGGTTTAGGTACAGGTTTAATGATCAAACAGCAGAACCTCAGTATTTCCCAAGAGATTTTCTTCTGACTTGGCATCACATGAAGTCTGTTTTCAAAAAATAAAATCTAGCAGTTCTTGGGTAAGTACTAAATATGATGATAGGGCGTATCCAGTATCCAGCCACCGTGCTTCTGATCAGCAGGATTGCAGAAACAGTGTCAGTTTGGAAGAAGGGAGTGTAGTTTTATTCAGCTCAACCAGCTGCTGATCTCAACAGTGTGGTTAATCGAAGCCATGCGTTGAGTATATTTTACATCAGGGCCCTTATTTCAATTAAAGCTTTTTACAAATGCAGTCCACAGTCTCGAGACAAGAAGTAGAAGACAGAACTGTGGTCAGACACCACAGGAGCAATGTACCCTTACCTCTCACTTGGGCGAGTGGGGCCCGAGTTCCTTCCTGGGCGAGAGGGAGATAAAACGATCCACTGCCTTTTCTCAGGAGAACTCAGCATCTTGTAGCTGAGTATCCGTAAAGCACAGGAACAGTCTGCAAGAGGCTCAGAGGTCTGGAGAAGATACCTGAAGGCGGATACAGCTGGTAGGAAGGGTTTTCCTTGTATGCTCGGAGGAAGCTACGGGAACATCTCAGGAAGAGAAAGCATGCAGTTTGAGATTAATATGGAGCAACTGTAGGTGACACATACTTTTCTCTTTCCGCTGCATAGGTATGTATTAGCTACAGAGGCGACTGACAATAAGAGAACTGTATATTATGTTATTGGCTGTTAGTAGGATGGTTGGGATTTTTTTTGAAAAAAGAGTTTCAGCATTACAGTCACAAATCCATTGACATTAGACTATGTGAATCTCTGCCACATAAGGCAATAAGAGGGGGAAATATATTTATAATAATGCAGACTATATTACTCAAGCAAATTTTCCAAAACTTCCTTTTAAGATCTATCAGTCAAAAAATCATTGTATGCCTATTGAATGGAACAAATTCTTTACTTTTTTTTTTCAGATAGGTTTAAAACATATGAAGATACAACAAAATGGCAGCCAAGCCTGTCATTTTATTGTTCCCCACCTCAGTTAAAATACAATGGATACAGTGTATTTTACATAGCTTTTTGAGTGTTTATGTATATCTATATATGTCTCTCATATATGCATATACATCTATATATACACAATAAACATTAGTAATGTATATATGTTATGAAAATGTTTAGGAAGAAACAAGCTGAAAATACCAATAAAAATATGTAACTTACTGCAGATCTTTCTCTATACTCTGTTCTTTTTTTTTTCTTTCTTGCAATATCTCAGTGCCTCCTTTTCTTACTTTTTATAGTGCCTGTTTTGCCTCAGACTAATTTTTTATGTTTAATAATTCTTTTTTTTTTTAATTCCTAGGTACTTTTAATGACTATATGACTATCTATGTTCATTCTATTGCTCTTTTCTTTTTAGTTCTGTGCCTATAAACCCATTTGTCTTTACCTGTTCTTTCATTTTCATCACTGAGGTTGTTTAGGAGAGGGTTTTTGAGTCTTTTCTATCATAGCAATCTTTAGGAAAAATCACAAGCTGGATATGGCATTTAGAAGATATTATTAGAAGATGTCATAATTTAGAAGAGTCATGTTTGAGGCACATTGGTTTGGCTTCCTCAAAAAATTTTATTTCTCTTTATTCTGAATCTCATAACTTGATCTCCATGCAGGCCCCTTAGACTTCCTTAGCTACAGTAACATCCCTGAGAGCTCTGTGGGTATGTTGGAAAACTGGGGTGTCATCATGAGTATCTGAAACTGGCATTGCATAGGCATGACTAGCATCAGAAATATGAATATATTCCTTTCCCATGGCTTGTTTAGCACATCCAGCTTAAACCTCTTGCTGCAGTGGTGATTCAGATTAGCACAAACCTTGCTGACAATGGAAAAGTAGTAGTAAAGTAGTAATTCCTAGTAATGCACACTTCTGACTGGTTCTTGTGTGACATTTCAAGGGAAATCTGATGAGCTCCAGTTTTTCCTACGAGATTATATTTATTTGCCATCAACAGGCCACTGTACCTGCAGAGAACCTGTTTTCATGGCTAGTAAAGGGGCAGTTTAGAGAGCTTTTTTTTTTTTTTTTTGTCTGAGATCTTTGCCCGTGTATCCAACCAGGAACATAAACAGATTATGGATAGTATCTTTACTATCCTGAAAATTGCCAAATCCGGGATTCCAGGGAATCCGAGGCAGTGACAATGTTGGCCAAGAGATAAAGCCTTTGTGATTACATCATGTCTACTCTTATTCGTGGTTTCTGTCTTAATTTTCATTCTTTGATGCCTTCAGCTATATATGTATTCTATTCCTCTGTCTCCTTGACTATTTTTCAAGCATTCTCTTTTTCTGTCTCTCTTGCTCAAAATTCTTCTCTGAGTTTCTTCTTCCCTTCATGATGTTTTGTTCTCCTCTTACGATTTCTCTTATCATCATTTTTGCTTCCTTCCTCTGTCTTCCAAATGTTCCTTTAGTTCATCCTTCCAGGACTATGATTGTTCAGACAAAGCAAAACCCTCTTCGCTCGCTTTCTCTTTCCTGTCAGCATCATGCATAACATCTCTTTGATCTAGATGCCCCCTTCCTGCCTCTTTCTTCCCTGCAGACTCTCTAAATACAGGTCTTCTAAATCTTTAAAGCCTAGCAGTGATCTTTGCAGTCTTACTAACAGGAAATGCTAACTCCTGACAAAATGCTCCATCTGTGTGAAAGTGGGTGTCTCTGATTAATCTTAATGATGGATTCTCACAAGGTTTATCGACAGATCTGGTTGATGAAATTGTGGAGCCACCTTATAACGTAGCAGGTACGATATTCAGCAAAGGGTATAAAGCTTCCTTAAAGAAAGAGATCTCTCTTTCAAATAGCTTTCTGAGAGTATGACTGATTTCTAGGGGCACCATCTACAGAATTTGCTGCATTGCATGGGAGGGGGTGGGGAGGGATTCAGGAAACTGAGTCATTGACTGCAACACGCTTGTGTTAGAAACTGAAAGCAGCAGCTTTAAAGAAAGGTTAATTCCTAAAAAATAAGATACATACTTATGAAAATGCACAACAGTACCATGCACTAAGTCTCCAGGCTCTAGCTTATGGATGGTGCTTGTCTTTTATGCTAAAATTATAATGCTATTTTTATAAGATGCAGAAGGTATTGATACTTACTGACTTGCTACTGTATAAATCTAACTCCAAATGTCAAGGTGTCCGCAGTGTTAAAGTCAACTATGCTTGGTGGATGGAATGGGAAAGAAAGTATCATTTGTAATTAGAGCTCTTCTGAATGTACTGTTTCAGTGGCTCTATGGATTATATGCAAGTGGTAGGATTAAAAAACAATTTGAGAGAGCTGTAATTATGTGAATCTTTATGATACAGCTTTCCTTTTATAAAGGCACCAGGAGAGATGACACGTCAGTGCACTTTGTAAATACTCTGTGCTTCTCTCAAGGGGACTCAGCACTGGTCTAATTGTGATATTACTGAAAAGAGTTCTAAAACCCATTGCTTCCCAAGGAAGCTGTTAAAGCAATGCTGAATGTTTTTAGAAATATACTCTATGTCCCTGACTTCCTTGTTTTTTATCAACTGACTTTAAAGTCTTATGAGATTTCTCTTATGTACAACCGAAAAACAGCCACATTCTAAAAACATTATTTATCTGTGTATAAAGATACAATTGGCCAAAATCCATTACTGTTAGAAGCATATTGCCTACGCATGCTTAAAGTGAATCAGTATCATGTTATACCTTAATTAGAAAACAAAATAAATGGATTCTTCAATGTATTTGCAGTTACCATTGTGTGATTTTTCCTCATTGATGTAATGATTATATTCATAATTTCCCGTTCCTTTGCTTCTCCATCTCATCTCCTTTTCCCTAAACTAGCGGACGAATGGATCGTGGCTAACCCCGAACTGACAGACAAAACGAAGTTTACTATCAATGGGCTGCCGACTGGCTCAAAAATCCTTGTGAGGGTGAAAGCTGTGAATGCCGCTGGTGAGAGCGAGCCGAGGTACCACCCACAGCCTATTTTAGTCAAGGAAGTGATAGGTAAGAGCTTCTCACGCAAAAATGTTCTGCTTCCTTGCTTAGGTATTTTTAAGACTAATACCTACTAAGTAATCATATGATTTACCCATACAAAGACATTTTGCAGTGCCTAGAAATATTTTTATATCTTTTTATTTCTTTTTTATTTTCTTTGAGAAGTGTGACTTCACCTGAGAGGAGAAGATCTCACCTGAGATCCTTCATCACTGCTCAGGTTTTGAAAAACTTTTATTCCTAGAACGTGATTTTCCCTTTGTTAAACAGAGCTAAGATTTTCACCAGTCACTTCTAGGAGCTGTAGACCACACAATTTGATACTAGTAATGATCAGCACCAGTATTGCCCCACTTATAAAAGAAGATAAATGTAAAATGTGAGCTTTCTTCTTCCTTTATTTTTAGAACCTCCAAAGATTCGTCTACCAAGACACTTAAAACAAACTTATACTCGAAGAGTTGGAGAAACTGTGAATCTTGTTATTCCTTTCCAGGTAAGAACTAAAAACACAGAGAGAAAAATACAAAATTAATAACCTCTGCAAGACTAATAAAAGCTTAAAAAAGTTTGTTCATCAGTACACAAGATAGACTGCTCCTAAGAAATTAAAACAGTATTTGTGGTTATTCTCTAAGCTAAGGTGCTCAAAAAAGCAGTGAGGTTACTCTATTTGGAGAGCACGTTTATATTGCTTGTCTCCAAAGAGGCATAAATCCCACGGGAATGCTGGTGGCATTCACTTTCTTATTTAAATATCTAAATTGGGCACTGCTCTACTCCAAAAAAAAAGGCCTCTCTGACACAGTACATGTCAGTCTGGTCTACCTAACAACCATTCCAAGTGCCTTCCCAATAAAAGAAGAGCCATACGGATTCCTAGAGGTCCAGTCCACTACTTAGATGCCTTTCATTTACTCTCAGTTTAGAGAATACAGGCACTTCTAGAGGGTAAACATTTTGTTGTAGTTTTTAATATTACTATTATTATTATTTTCTTTTTCTTTTTAGAAAACTGGAAATTGTTTGGGCAATTTTAGCCGGAATTTGCAAATATTCTTTGGTTTGATTCTTAAAAAATCCTGCAATGCAGGTGAATTAATGAGACTGCCTCTCAAATGCTGCATGACTTTCAAAGACTTCTCACTGTTTGTTTCAGGATGGTTTTGATTTCCACTTTAAGACTAACACCAATTTCACTCCCCAAATCCTTTATGAATTGTTTTCTTACTTCTTACAGGGAAAACCAAGGGCAAAAGTATCATGGAAGAAAAATGGCACTCCGATAGACAAGAACCAAATCAACATCCGCAACACTGAAAATGACACTATCATCTTTATCCGAAAGGCAGAAAGGGGCCATTCTGGACAATATGACATGAAAGTGAAAGTAGAGAACCTGGAGGACAAAGCTACGATAGATATTCAAATTGTTGGTATGTTCTGAATAAGTGAAGTAAATGCATGACAGAGAAGCCTACTCCAGCCATGGGAATACAGAGGTATCCCAAGGAGAGCATCTTTCTCTACAGTGATTACTCTCCACAGCAGATTACTTGGCTAAAGATCTGTGGTTTCTAAATAAACCTCCCTAGATAACGGCAGGTGTTCATCAGAAAATGTCAGTACTCTTTCAGCACTACATTGTTCTGCTCTTCATGTTCTTGCTTATCCAGGATGGATGCTTTTTCCTGTTGAGTAGTAGCAATGGCCAGAAATCGTAGCAAGTTTCTCCCCAGTGTAATGTGGAAAGACCCTAAATGTTGAAAGCATGTGAAAGAAGGAAAGAAAGAAAGAAAGAAAACACATCTACTTTTACAACTAGTTTTCTATCAAGATGTTTTTTTACATAGTGTACAAAACTGATACACTGGCTTTAAAAGGATTGACTATTCCTGTTTTAAGAACATATTTTCATTCAGTTGCTTTAAAACTTTCCCAAAACATCACATCCTTATGCAATTAAAGAACATATTGTGGTTCATGCCACAAAATGGTCAAGTTACGTTTTTCATAGTTTTGACATTCCTTAATTTTATTTTTTATTTTGCATTTTGGCAGTCTCTTGACATTGAGTTTGTCATGTGTCTGTGTAAGAAAGAGTGAGAATGTAAACACAGTGGAAGCTGCCATGTCAGCTGCCATGTTTTCATTACAGACCGCCCAGGCCCACCGGAGGTGGTCATGATTGAGGATGTCTGGGGAGAAAACGTAAATTTATCGTGGAAGCCACCAAAAGATGACGGCAATGCTGCCATTACTGGATACACTATTCAAAAAGCAGACAAGAAGAGTATGGTAAGTAATAAGCAGATTTTAAAAGGCTGGTGTAATTATGAACTTCTTCCTTATCTAACTATGATTCTTGCAAGTGTTACAAAGATAGGTGTCTGACACAGGATGCACTTAAACACTTAAGAGATGTGCACGGTGCTGAAAGCAGAGGAATTTTGAGATAACAAGGTCACGTTCATGTTAATTTGTTCAGGAAGAGGACAAGAGATTGCCTGTTCCTGTCTTCTAAGGCCTTTGATCACAGAGTAATACGCACTGCCTGAATTTTCAGAATTGCTTATTGCAAGCTCATAGTACCTTTCATTTGCAAACTGTTTCTCAAATTGTAATCACATAAGAATTGTTATTATTCATCTCTACTTGCCTCCTTCCAGGAAAAAAAAAATCTGGATGACTTTTATACTGTTCTCCATTTGAGCTGTCTGTTATTGTTGCGGGCTGAGGCTCTAAACCCACCTCGCCATCTCAACCTCTGGATTTGGCTTTCAGTCTGGAGGAATCACCTGGATAAAGTTACATTTCTCATAAACACTTAGCTTGTGGAAGAGGAGGCAGATTAGTGCGTTGGCCTCTTGCAGTACATGTTATTGTAAAGGGATTTATCTGCAGCGATACCCTCTGCCAGCCGAGAGGAGTGGGAATGAGAGCGCCTGCCTTGCCTTGCACAATGCGACCTTTACAATTTCGGGTGTGTGGGGAAGATCCCTCCCAGCTAACAGTGACAAATCAGCAGGCTTCACTTGCCGTTCAGCTTGCAGTGCTCAGCCATGAACTATGCGTGATATGATCATCCAGCTCAGATGGAACAATTCATTCCTGTTAAATTCATTACATTAGGAATCATTAACACACCCATAGAAAAACCTCTCAGTCCCCTGGCCTTGATGATCCCTCCAGGCGTTAATGGACGAGCCCCGCGGTGCCGTGCGGGAGGCTCAGTCTCTGTGTGTGTTTCAGGAGTGGTTCACCGTGCTCGAGCACTACCACCGCACCAGCGCCACCATCAACGAGCTCGTCATAGGAAACGAGTACTACTTCCGCATCTTCGCTGAAAACATGTGCGGCCTCAGCGAGGACGCAACGATGACCAAAGAGAGCGCTCTGATCGCCAAGGATGGTTAGCTGACTAGCAATTCCTTATCCAGCGGGAAGGGGGGTTGGGAGTAAGGAAGGTGATGAGAACTAAAGGCCGTGTCTACAAACACTCACAAATACTCTTAACCCAAAGATCAGGTGCAACGAACAGCTAATGAGTCATTGTCTCGTTCTTAGTAAGACATTTCAAATTAGGACTCTACATTTTTGGCTTGTCCAGTTGGTCCACAATTCGTTTTCAAGAGTGGGACGCTTTTCTCGCGTCCCATGACTTTCTGTGATCTTGGATCTCGCACTCCTGTCACCACTAGCTGATCTAAGTGGACAAGAGCTGAAGGAGGTGTTAAGAAGCTGTTAAAAGCGGTAGGTTACTGCCTCCCAGTGGAGACCCAGTATCAAGTGTGCAAGTGCTCTTAGCCCATTTCAGGGCAGGATCCAAGAGGAAAGCCTAACTCCCACTGAGCAGCATTTCCAGGTGGAGCAGGACACACTCAGAATTTCTGCTGTGCCAGGAATCCTGCCATTCCAGAAAGTGTGAGGGTTGAGGCACTTGGAAAAAAAAAATCAAATGAAAATGTTAATTGCCTTTTTACGGAAGGGAAATTCTACAAACAAGTGGTTTAAAGGAAGAAAATCAAACCGGTTCCCGTCAGTTTGTCAGAAAGAAAATGTATGATTGCCATGATTCAGAGGACAGACAACATATATAACCCACACAGATAGGGATTTCCTTCCCTAGAGCAGAAAATGGAGTTGCTCTGGAAGGAACAGATAAAGAAAAGTATTCCAGACTCCCTGATATATGATGGGGAGTCACGCAACCCCAAAATGAAATTCTGAAGGTTTTGGGGCTTCTAGCAGTGGAATGCTGGAGTTTATGGGACTGAGTCCAGTCTCCACAGTGGGCAACAAGGTAGCCCTAGGGTCTCCAGTATGCAAACATTTAACATTGCAAGAATGTCCCTAACTCACAATCTTAGGAAAAAGCCCCCATTCTCACACAGCCTACTAGATAAGCTGTCGTGCAATTGGAAATAATCCCTGTTTCATCAAACATGCTTTGAAAGAAGAGACTCTGAAAAATTAGCACTTTGCACCGGCAAGTTGCTTCAGATAAAAACTTCTGTCTAGCTCTACATACAAACATTGTGGACTAGGAAGACAATCAGCCTAAGTTCAGGGACACAGATGGCAGTTCCTACCGTGTATATTGGCCATAGACAGCTCTTCTTTTGATCATCAGAAAATGAGCATCCACGTTAAACACTGAAGAACTCAAGGTGTTGGTACCAGAGCCCACTTTCGCTCTTTAAAAAAAAAAAAAAAAACTGTTAGAAAAGGGATCATCAGCAAAAGATGGGCTATAGAAGTTGCCCTTCATCGCTCTTATTTCCCCCGATGCTAGCAGGTACCAGGCCTAAATTTGCATTGGGATCAATATGAGAGCTTGGATCAAGTTTCAGTGAAGCAGAAAACTTTCAGGATACCTGTGCACAAGAATGGCACAAATGCAATTACCACTCGCATTGGTACATAAAGCAGTGCAGATCAGAACAGATTCAGGCTCCTTGTATCTTTCTAAGATGCTGAAATATTTAGCTACATTATAACACTTCTTTAAAATGGTGCATTTTCATTTCATAGGCAAAGTCTACAAATATCCAGTTTACGATGATTTTGATTTCAGCGAGCGACCACTGTTCACTCAGCCTTTAGTTAACACGTTTGCCGTAGCCGGCTACAATGCTACTTTGAACTGCAGCGTCCGGGGCAATCCCAAGGTATGGCATCTCTCTTAACAGAAGCAATTACACCACAGGAGAATTTAATCTGACAAAAAAAAAATGTAATACTATATTTATCATTCATCTCATTCATAAACCAGGCTGAAGGAGAAAGTATGGCATAGGCTCTAAAGAACAGAGAGCAGGAGTTGAACAAGTTCCTCAAGTATTCTTCCTAGCTCTACCACTTTTTTGCTGTACTGCAAGATCCATCTCCTTCTGTCCCTACTTTACCTGGCTCTGCTACAGGGATTGTAGTAGTCATTAATCCAGAGATAACCCAGTGAAAGGACAGGACCTCAGCAAGTGACTGGGCTATTCTGGGCCTAGCTATATGGTTAATATGACAGAAAAGAGGATTGCTAAAATAATACCATAATTATTCTATAAAAGTCAAATTATTGCTTAAGATAGTGCATTGCAAAAACCCATGGGGACCACATAGACACTTAGACTACTGTGCAACAAATTCCCCGATTTCTTGTGAGTTGTGTTTCTCTGATCCATTTTCCATTGCAAAAAAATGAATTCACTTAGTAAAATGGGAACTCAGAGATTAAGAACATGTTCACTGTTTATTGTGCACCTTCCCTGTTTCCGACCATTCTGTGTGCAAATTAGTTGAAAAACACACTTTTCTGATTAACTTGGAGGATTATTCAACTTTAGGAGAATATCGCAAAAAGATTTAAAATATTTCAGGTCACAGGTCTGTGCATGTGATTTTGATTTTGTTCCTACCGCAGCCCAAAATAACCTGGATGAAAAACAAAGTGATTATAATGAATGACCCAAGATACCGAATGTTCAGCAACCAAGGTGTCTGCACCTTGGAGATCCGCAAACCCAGCCCGTATGATGGAGGCACCTACACCTGCCGAGCAGTCAATGAGCTTGGAGAGGCAGAAGTTGATTGCAAACTGGAAGTAAAAGGTAAGGGTTTTAAATCATTGCAAATACTTTGCTTTCCTGAATACCACCAAAGTAGGAGTCAAAAGTACGAAAGTCAAAGGGAAATTCAAAAAAGCTCTTTTAAAAACTTTCCCAGATGCAAGTAATAATTTGATTAGGATAAAGTAAAACTACACTGGTAGCTTTGTTTTGTCTTCGAGGGCAAGCATGTTGTGCTTATGCTAAACCCTCTTCCCACCTCCCAGTTGAAGCATTCATTGATTGCACAGGCCTTTTTACAAGGGAGACAGTGATAGGCTATAACCCTCAAAGCTATACCACTTAAGTCTAGTGAAATATATATATATACACACATATGCATATATAGCTGTATCACAAATTCTAGTAAAACTCATTCATTGGGAACATGTGTTTGGTACACTTTAAAAAAATCATCTTGGATAGGAGACAGATATCAGGAGACATAAATGAAAGAAGAGGAGAAGAGAACAGGAAGAAGGATTAGTTCAAGGCACTTTTTGTCTGCCTCAAATGGTATATTAGAAAGAACAAAAATTTGCCTCTAAGGAAATCCTCTTAATGTAGTTTTTAGCAAAACTATGTGAAAAAAAGAGTACTATTCCCAGAGACACAATCTGGTTGATAGAGTTGTTGTATTGGCTTTATCAACAAAGTATTCAAAATTACAGATTTTGCAAATAGGGGAAAAGAGGAAGAAATTAAACTTTTACAGCTGAAATCTTTATTTTCATTAATATTTTCATTTTATGAATTCCAAGTAGTTTAGCATTGGCTAGAGTGTTATGAATGGCAGCAGTATTTGGAATGGAATACCACTGAACAATCTAGAGAGAATACTTTTCAGGAAAAAAAAAATGCCTGTAAAAAACAGGGTCATATTTCGCTGCGCTACCTTCCACCAAAAGCTTTTTGCTTTGATTACAGAAAAAGAAAATGTGTGTGAAAGAATGGTTTTGAGGTTCTAAGGCAAGCTGCCTAAAGCCAAACAATAGGAAGTACCTAATCCCGGAGTTTATTTGGAATTCAGGGGGTCCTCATGGGACCCCAATTACATTACAACCATCATGCACATTTACAATGAAAACCAATACATTTAATATCCTCGTGAATTGTGTTGTCTTTGTTTTGGATTATGACTTGCATTTTCTGTCGCTATTCATATATTTTGCCCCCCAGCCCAAATCTGCTAGCAAAGCAACACTGCAATGCAAGTTTGGTCTAGAAAGTTGTACATATAGCTAATGAAATATGCGTAATATCATGTTGCTTAATTGGCATAATTTGTTTTTAAGATGTTATGCTTAAACAAGGATGTCCGTGTCTCAAAAATATGAATATTTTCCTTAATCCCAAGCCAACTCTTTATTTCACAGCGTAACAGAAGATGTCATTTCCTGAGAAGGTTGTTTCATTTGTTCTTTCTGCCAAAAGACCAAGTTTGCCATTTCATTAAATTTCCTAAATCACCAAGCACTGAAGCCCTTACCCATTTACACATAGTTCTCACTGTTTAGTCTTCATCATTTTGCTTGTAGCACCACTAAACACTATGTTTTGAGTAAATGAAGCCTTTTTATTAATATCCTATTAATTTTAAGAAGATTTTCTGTAATATAATGTGCAGAGTACTACAAAACTTCTTTGAAATATGAGATAACTCTAGTAATGTCAGTCCAGTTAAGGAACTGCAAAGTCCAGATGTTGCCCAAGAATTCACACCGTTCTTCAGTAATTCCCTTTCTAGTTGTTGTGAAATTCCAATGCTTCTGCTGATCTTGGAGCTTCTTATCACTGCAGCTATCATAAATTGTAGTTCGCTGTTTTTGAAGCGTAAGTGCCATGTCTTCATTCGTGTTCCCCTTCCAGGAAATTGTTTATCAACAGTGGAGGCTGGTCTGTGCTATAGTTTTTGTGAGATGAGTTTAGGATTCAGTTTCTTACTATTGGACATATTATGCAGTGGTATCTGAAATACTTTGGAAATGCTTAGATCCTTTTCCACTCGATTATAAATAATTTATTAAAATAAAACTTTTTTGTTCTGCCCATTAAAGCAGTAGGTACATTTGAGATTACCTACTTGAGAAGTTTTGCTGACACATTTGTTTAACAAAGTACACCTAGCAACGTGGCAAGAAACATTCAGGGCGGATGACAGTGAGGACAGAGAAGCACTGGAACAGATTCTCTGCAGAGGCTGTAGAGCCTCTACAAGAGGTAGCAGAGCTACCAAGTGCCTTTCAGGGCAGTTTAGTCAAATGACAGCAGTGCAGTTTGTTAGGGTTAAGTGATGCTTCTTAGGGTTGAGGGCTTTGGGCTGGGTGTCAAGGCCCTTCCTGGGACTCCCTGCTGCAGCAGGGCAGATTTAGCCATCGCCTCAGTCTCCTTCCTAAGGAGCGCTCGGATCAGCAGCCCACAGGGGATAGCGGTTGCAAGGGTTCAGTGCTGACAGTCTTCAAACAACTGTCCAGTTTGATGAATTCAGAGGATACATCAGCTGTAGTTGCACAAACCAGGCTAGGTTCAAGGCTCGCTGTGTGGTATAGGCAAACGCAAACAACTATTGTGCTACCAGAGCATTAGCATTATACCTTATTTCACCCTTCTGTCTGCTTATTTGTTGAACTATCATTCTCTCAAATTTCCCAGCTCGTTTGTTCATTTAGGAGGGATGATCAGCTGAACTGCACACCACGTTTCTGATTCACTGCAAAGGGATTGCAGCGTGTGTCTGTGTGTATATGTGCACGTGTTTATATGTATAGGTTGGGCTAGTTCACCTTTACTCCAGCAAGGAACATGAGGGTCTGAATCTGTAATACTGGCATCTGTTACCTCAGTCAGACCAACAGGATCGAGGCTATGCTGCATACCTGGTGAACCTATTAGCTGCCGTGCTGTTATTATAGATCTTTTGATAGTAAGTTATGTTTAAAAATGCTATGCTATGCAAATGTATATATTGCAGTAAATTAAATTTCCTCAAGTTGTCTAGAATGTCTTTTATCTGTCTATTTGTGAGCTGTTGCAGACTGCGTTTGTCATGTGTTATGCACAGTCCTAGAAATGCCACAGAATTACTGGGAGCAGTCTAGAATTTCAGATTTTATATAGTATTTGAACAACTGAGGAACTATGAATACTCAGGCCACGAATACTCTCACTTGGCTACACTTTTCTACTTGCCTAGCCATTTGCTTACAGTATTTTAAGTGTCAATTTAAATCCCCTATCTAGCTGTTACTAATTTAATTTTAATTTAATTTCTGGAAAGGTTTTAACAGCAACCATGAGCACAGAAACAAATGGTTCATTTAAAGATCTTTATTTTGTCCTCGAATGTTGTGGGATTTTTTTTTGCATTTGCTACTGTTACTACAGATAGGGAGAACTTCTTTCTTCTACTTTCAGTTTTGCTAAGTGAGCTTAAAAGTGGAAGCGGCATCCTGTTCAGCACAACTGTATGTGCGATGCCTTTTTGAGAAATATGTGTGCCGAAAAATATAATGTTGATATTTATAATACATTTTAGAGAAGAACTCTGCCCCACATATAACTTGAACAAATACACATACACAGAATCCCATATTCCTTACACTCATCTTACTAAAGAAAATAAAAAAGGATATTTTTGTATTTTAAAGTTTGTTGAGGTAGATCCCTAAAAATAGCAGTGAATCTCTCTCTATAAACAATAAGGAAATGACTCCTTATTCATTTAACTGAGGTCCATGAAAAGATATTGATAGAGCATCATGCTTTTATTATTATGAAACAAGTGTTTTTGCAGAATGTTCAGCGAAATCAAGATTGATGATAACTCTGATAGGCTGATGATAGCAAAGATGCTATATGAGAAATGTTGAAAAATAAGGTATTGAAATGAACTGAGAATTTCAAATGAGAATAAACACCACTGTAAATATTCTAATTCTGCAGTGATATATCACGGCGTAATTAATCCAGGAGAACCATGCTTCTTGGCGGGGAATAATCAGGTTTAAATAAGCATTACTCCACTGGACATTCCATTTCATTCCCTTCCTCTCTTTTCAAATAAAAATGTGTTTCCTGCATGCAAAGTGTGTATTTACTTGCTTTTTTTTTTTTTAGATTAAACTAGCTAGCGGCTCATGGCATAGAATGTCTATGTCACATGAGCAAAGAAGGCCAAATTAATCAAGAATAAAGGAACTGAACTTCAGAGTTACAAAATATTTCGACATATTTCTGCTACATCACTGGGCATAGAACCACTTGTACATATAAAGAATTTATTTAATAACTGTAGCTACATTTGACCAAAATACTGAAGTCTTTCAGGAGATAGATAGAAATTTGCATCCTGAAGGCTAAGTTAGTTTGTAGAAATGACTGAAAGTACTTTATGATACAGAAGTTTTGTAACATTGTTTGATATTCTTAAAAAGCATTCCCGATTATAGATTAGCCTCTGATTCTTAGTGCTCAAATTGTCAATATATGCTTGGACTTATAATACAAAAATCTAAGGATAAAATCTTGATTCAGTTGCTTTTACTTCATATGCTTCTACAGGAGATTTTACATTCAGTATCAGTGAATTTTACTGGCAGAGAATTTGGCCCTTTCTATGCAAATGTCTTTTATTGCTCAAATCCAGTACAGTGGCAGAGCAGTTTTAAAATGGTAAGAGATGCCCAGAAATTTGTCTACGCCATTTTATGCATCAAAATTGACTTTCCAACCTAAAACATGTTAGGCTAGATAATGTTCCTGCAGTATTTGGAAGTTTTAAGGTACTTCTCCTAAATGGCTACAATAGTTACAAAGTTAAGTGCTTTTCTATGTATATATATGTATGTATGTTCTGTAGAGTCAAATTGCTTAATGAAAGGGCTCCTATAGAGTAAACGGCATGCTTTATGTAAATGTTTTTGTGTGATGATACATATTTTAGTGTAATTCATCTGTACTTGATTATTTTACCTTAAAGAGTTTCAACATATATATATATGTTTCAGTGTTGTGTGTGTGTTCTTTTCCCATAGTGGAAAACACTATATATATATATGTGTTAGCTTCTTTCGAAGCTACATTTGGAAACTCTGTCAGGTGCATAATTTGGTTCCAGTCAATACTATAGACTAATTACAGGAGTTACAGTTACTTGAGCATATTAATATAGCCTTACATATTACTGATAATTTTGAAGTGGAACTGGATCCCTACCTTTTACTCCTCATGTGCTTTTATTCCTACATATTTTACATGACTAAGGATTAAACATCATCTTGTCATAATTGTAAACATAATTTTACTCAACGTTTTCTCTCCACTTTTGTGTTTGTGATTCAATCCCTTAATTACAAAATAAGGATTTTTGAATGTATATTGTCATCTAAGGTAAGCTTTCATATGGTTCTTGCATATGAAGCTTATGTCTGTTTTCACGTCATACAAAGTTTGCCTAGTATGGCATGATTTTCATTATGCTGCTTAATGAAAATGTTTTGGAATGAGCAGCATGATACTGTTAATGCATATTAAAGCCAGATCTTTATAATAACTGCTTGTTACAGTAGGCCTGTTCAGTAATATATCCCGTGTTTTCTAATAGTGCACATGCTTCTGTGGATTTTAACACAGCATGAGTTAAGATAATACATTAATATGAATAAAATGCAAGTAATGAAAGCGCATTCTTTACCTACAGACAGTTCTTTGCATATAGGTATATACCTCTACATAAATGAAATGTTTATTCAACACTTAATTTCCTTTAAAAAAAAAGAGTGTTTTCTATCACAATTTGCACTTTATGAGTTGAAAAGAATGCTAAAAAGCATGCCTTTTTTTTTGGTCTGTATTGTGCATCCACCTAGAGCTGGGAGCAAACAGTTCTGAAATGACGACAGTGTTAAATGAGAGGCACAGTTACCTATAATCCCTAGAGACTAATAGCACTTTAACTGGATGATCCTTGTGTTAATAAAGGTTATACATTCCTTAAATCTGTAATCAGAATAATTGCTGTATGTCAAAATCAGCTCAATTGCATTTAGCTGAAGCACCCAAAGGCAGTAGCATCTTCCTCTTCAAAATGTACATTTGCTTTAAAACTTTTGGTGTCCTCCTGAAAAAGGCTGAGAAGGTAAGTGCTGTTATTATGTGGTTTGCAACTTGCAAAATGGAATAAACACATAGACTTAGAAGAGCAATAGCAGTATGCAGCTTTCTTTCCACATATGCCACTTTTCCCCTTGAAAAAGGGCGACCACTATTTTAGCAAAATATTTATATTTTTCCCACTGTTCATTCTGAGTGCCAGCCAACTTCAACAAAATTAATAAAAATACACATGTATTTTCTTCTACAGGTTTCCATGACATTTTTTTCAATGGCAGGAAATTTCAGCTCTAATTTGGATTATTTGTATTAAATTATAAATTGCATGACAGTAGGATCTGGTGGGGTCCCCACTGGTGTGTCAGACACTAGACACGCATATCTTGGGGGCAGTGACACAAATTTTGCCTTGGATTGCCAAAATTTAAAAATCTCTTTAAAGATGTGTCTTGCCCCATTTTTGAGAGCAACAGCTAAATCCTCGAGTACTTCCATGGGCTTTCTTCTAAGCGTAGGCTGATATTATGGCACAGAGATTAAAAATATGTTTGCTTCAATTTTTACTCACTGTGGCAAAGCCAAAGCTCTAAAGGGCCTAAAAAGCCCTGAATGTGCCTTCTGATAAGGCTCGGTAAATGTTAACACCAGCCACAAAAGTACAAGTGAAGAATTTCATTTTCACAGAGAAAGCACCTGCACCCAAGGTGTTTCATGTGATAGGTTTTGTTCTCCAGGGTGAAAGTTTTTCTTTATTCTTCATTTCAGGACTTCCCCAGTAAAAAAAAATAAAAAATAAAAAAGTTAAAAAAAAAGAAGCTTTGACTTTCATTAGTTATCTTTGGAATCTACATTTAGGCTCTGATACTTAAAATCCTGACTTTTTCTATACTGTTCTTTTACATCTGTCATGCTGGCTGCAATTTTCAAGCAATGGGATAAATATTTTGCTAAATACTTAGAAACTATTATAAAACCCAGCACTAGAATAATTTGAATGTCTCTGCATGCTCTCCAGAACTCAGTCTCATCCCTCAGTGTAAGGTGTTTCCTTTCTGGGCTGAATTCCACCTTGAACTACACTCCTAATAGAAACAGGAGGGCTACTTGTACTGAAGCTTATAGTATCTTCCATGGGGTGACATGAGAGTCAGGAAAAGACTTGCCAGAAATGAAAGTTGCCCTGGGCAGGAGACCAGTACAAGTCATCCACAGGGAAGGAAAAAATCAGTGGTGAATTCTCTAATATTGGATGAGGGCTGACTAAAGCAGTTGCTTAAGACGGGGAAATATTGGTACCAGTCGCTTGCCCCAGGGATCTTGGACTGAAAAACGTCTCGTGCCTTGCTTGCAGGTGGGCTTTCGCTCTTCAGGCTACTAATGGATGGAGTGCCTCCGCATGTCATTGATTCATATATGCGTGAAGTGCAGCCCGACAAAACCGAGGGAAAGTGAGAGTCCGTCCACAGGGCTCCCTGCCACTGCGTTGGAAACTGGTAGCCAGAATCGCAGCATTTTAGTTCTTGCAATGGCAGAACAAATGTGTGGTTGGGAATTTTCTTTTCCTTTTTTTTTTTTTTTTTGTTCGTTATTTGTTGTTCTCTTTTCCCTCCCTGCGCTTACTGAAAAGAAAGAATACGCATGGATTGCTTTGGGGTTGAAATGAAATGAACTGAAGACAACACACATTTTGTAAGGTTCAGCTTTATTTTCTGTTTGATGCTGTGCTTTGTTTCTTAGCAAGGGAAGAAGAGAGGCTGTGTAATAAGCATGAGGACGCAGTCAGAGTTGGTACTCGGTGGTACAAGGCATATTTTTCTCAGACTGAAAGCATATGGATTAACCAGTAGCTGTGCAATAAGACCTTTGGACTACATACCTCCTCGATAACGTATCTTATTCACCTGACAATTGTTTAACAGAATATGGTTTTACTATACGTAATTAATACAGATGTACTTAAAGAACATTTAGCCTGAACATATCTTCCTTTAGAAGTTTTGATTTCCTAACTCCCTCCCATAGATATTCCAACTGAGCTGAAATTGTTTTATTTAATGTACAATAAATATGAAGTGTTTAAGATCTACCAAGTTACTGGTTGCTTTTTATTTTTTGTTGTAGCTGGTCCACCTCACTCTGCCACATTTCTTGTTTGCTTGGCACACACTGCGAGGCAGGAGCTCGAGCCCTATCAGCACTCGCAGCTACTGACGCGCAATGTGAATGAAAACAACTATCCAATACAGGCAATTTAGCATCTCTGTTTCCAAAATCTCTATGTTTCTAAACATTTTAAATACCAGCAGTGACAGCTTTCATCATTGTGGATCAGCCCCGTTCCTCATCAATTCACTGAGCTCCTGTAGGTATCATAGCATAGGTTATCAGCTAACTGGCTGGTTATTGTCTTTGACTGCGGTATACGCAGACAATTGGCTGCTAAAACCAGTAGCCAAGTTGGCAAGATGGTTATTTTCAAGTCAATGCCCTCGTAAATATCTAGCATTTAGCAATTACGGACCAACAAATGGATTTGTTACTATGAGCAAGCACTGCAGATCTGGTGTTTTTACACTTGGATTACCAATTCATCTTTAACTCTGGGGACTTCATTCTCATTTCTTGCTTCGTTCTGTCAGTCTCACTTGATGTGGATCCTTTTTCTTTCTTCTCTCCGCTTGGTGATTTTTAATGTGCTGCCTTCTGTGCAAGGAAGGAATTTTCCATTCCCACCGATTCTGCATCCGCTAACTTGCATTTCACCCAGCTCCTACCAAAACCAATTCTTCCTCTTTTCCATGCACACCTACACATGAGAGCATGCAAGACCTCTAAGAAAATGGAATACATATTTTTCTTTATTCTGTGTCTTACCAGTGAATCAAGTCTTTCTTCGTGTGTCATTAGGCCTGCAAGGCTGTGGGAGGGTCAGTTTGAACATGTGCCTTGCACTTTAAGCATATGTTCTCCATTTATGTAATATCTCTCAGCTTAGACATATTATGATTAGCACCGTAAGCTTTACTTAGCATGAGTTTGTGTTTTTCAGTGAGCCAAAAGGGACACAGACATCTATGCTTTGTGTGCAAGCATGTTTACAGCTGTGAGCTCGTACACACTCTGCCTTGGGATATCATTTTTAATAACGTGGTGGGCAGCATCAATCTCAGTTTCTGCAGGCTTCGTGCAGAAAGAATTAACTACTCTAGCTTCTACCAGATGCTAGCAGCATTAAAAGGCAAGCTGAAGTAAGCTACTTCTACTGCCTGATCAGTAAGCTTCACATTCAGCTGCCCTTAATCCCTCCACAGTTGCTTTGCTACTGGCTCTCCCTGGGGCTCAAGGTGCGGTGCCAGCAAGAAGCAGCAGGTACCAGGCGCAGGTGGCATCTGGGCAGGTGGGCAGTAGCTGGCTATCAATTCACACTCATCATAACTGTCCAGACCAAGCCCCTGGGCTCGTAATTAACTGGAAATTACTTGGAGAGGAACGACAGGGTACATACACTCCATTAGAATCACACGGGATAGGAAAGGAGTTCCAAGATCTCAAACCAGACGAAGAACCTTATACAGAGAATAATGAAAGATAAAGTTTTTCACTGATCATGTGTTCCCTGGTGGCATTCTGCAGGGACAATGTTCATAAGAAAAAAAAGTCTCAAAAATCAAGAGTTAAGAGAATGCTAATGAAAACAGAGGTTAATACAACCTTGGGAGGGGAGACATACTACAGGTAACAAAAACTTTATGCAGAACAACCCAGGGAGAGCAATAGCAGAGAACATGGTGCTGTAAAATATACAGCCTAATGCTTTCAAGATGAAATTTCTCCAAAATAGGGCCAAATGGAATTCGTAAAGCTCAAGGAGACCTAGACCGCACCTACAGACAAATCCAGTCTTGTGATTGATAGTAACAACGTGAAAGGCAAACAAAGTTCCAAAAGGGAAACTGGTAGTGCTTATACGGCTGCTGGTTGTGTTCGCTGGTGTCCAGTGAGGACTGAAACCGGCCTGGTTTGCAGCTAGTTGCGTTGTTCGTAGCGCCTGGCCCTCATGTATAGTCTCCACTGGCTAGCTGGGGCTTGGGCTACGGTTCAGCTCTCCTTCCAGAGCACCGTCAGTCAGCACTGTCTTGTCTGCCCACTTTCACAAACCTGGAAGGAACTTAGTATTTTTGCCACCTCTATCTCGGTGCTCTGTTTGACTGAAACAGATCACGTTCTTCAAAGCCTGGAACAAGAAAGGAGACCCTAACAAATGTCCATGTGAATAAAAATAATAAATAAGGGCGCCTTTTTTTTTTTTTTTTAAGTCATTGTGTTTTCTTTTGGTTTGTTCTCCTTACACATGGAAGAGTGTTTGGTGCACAAATGTTACTGTTGTACAAGCATCCAGTCTCGGAGCAGCGTTATGCAGGGCTTGGTAAGGGCACTGCTGCCACACGTTCCCACTGAAAAAGCACCGTCGGTGTCAGACCATTTTTACCTCACTGAAAATAAACTTGGAAATGAAGAAAGGGGAGGAGAAAAGCACATGGAAATCTTTTAAAGGATGTTTAAATCAGGTTGTGTTGTTTGTTTATAAAGAAGTCTTTATTGAAAATCAGAAACAAGAATGTGCGGAAAATCTCGCTGTCAAGAACTGAATGTCCAAAAGGAGACAGAGGAGTCCTAAAACTTTATTCGAATAAAGGGAGAGTCCACCGGGCATATCCCTGTGGGGTCTCTCAGATTGCTGGGGGACGCAGCCCCCCTTTTATCCTAATTTCCCGACCGAGGGACACCCTCTCCTTTTCCCCATTGGCCAAGGTACTCAGAAGTTACAGCCTTCCCGGCTGCCTACACCGAACTGCGGCCTCCCGCCATCTCTTCTCAACTGAGCTCACCAACTCCTTTGTCCCCCTTGCTGAAGAATGTGGGGCAATTGCCCTGTTTCCCTCCTTTGTAAAGGCCCCATCTCCTTGCAGATGGCTCTTTTTGTCCCACTCGGCTCATGGCTCCACTCAGTCTCCCCTCCCTTTGTCCTGCTCTTCAGCCAAACTGTGGAGAAACCCCCTTATTGATGAATACAGAAACTTGAGCATTCCGCTCAAGAATAACCCATTAAAATTGTGTTCCTTTAAACTTCCTGTAATTCCTTAATCTAAAACAAACAAAACAAAACAAAAACAACCAACAAACATTATAATAGTGCCATCTTTTTCGGAGCGCTATGCAGGGACAATTTATGAATGTTTTCTGTTGCATTTTGAGATTCTGGAGCAAAAGGCAGTCTATTTTAAGCACACTGCACTTAATGTCACTTGATTTTCAAGGCCTGCTTTGACTGACAAGTGAAGCTGTGGCTTTGCTGAAGCCAAAAGCACTGGAAGCATAAGTGTATCCTGAAAACCTAGAGCACAGCGAACTTCCGGGTTTTACAATACACTTTTCAAAAAAAATGTATTAAAACTTCCCTAAATTTAGTAATAAATTCAATAGTACAGAATTTCCTCTTCCATTCATTTAGACCTCACTTTCTATACCACTCATTTCATTCATTTAGCCCTCACTTTCTATGCCACTCTTTTTATTTACCTTTTATCTATTACTTTTTCCTTTTTCTTTCTGCCTTAATTGCTTAAGTTCCTAAGTAAAGCACATGGATGCATTGGTGTTTAGCTATACCTCTTAAGAAAAAAAAATCTCTTGGCACCATAAAGAGCTTGAGCTCTATAAATATCAATACAATTATGTCCATTAGCTACACCAATGCAGACTGAATTAAAAAAAAAAAAAAGACTTTTTAAACCTTTTCCAAACTCAGTGATTCCAATGGTTTGGAGGGCTGGCTGTTTTGAAATTAAGTAACTGTCACCTTTTCCTTTTGCCTTTTTCTTAACTGACTGTCATTCAATTTTTATTATATTGTGTTACCACTCCCTGCTGCTCTTTCTGGGCAGTTGCTCTCGCCTCTGCTTGGGCCCTTCTTCCCAATTGCAATATGCTGCTGTATTTGCTGAGCTGCAAATTAAACTGGTTGATGCAATGACATTGCATCTGGGGACACACACACCACACCAAGCCATTTCGAGGCCACCCCTTTCCATACATCACACACTCCTGACCCTTGCGGCAGACAAGGGAATCTGTTTGTTTTGAATAACAGGAAACTGCTTTATCCAGGAATTTGTTTTACTTGGCCAAAAAGCTGCAACTTCTGGCCCAAAACGAGAAGCTGGGGGGAAAAAAAAAAAAAAAAAAAAAAAGCTACTTGTAAATAGATGCCAGCACGGACAGACTGGCCAAAGATTGGGTTTTCATACTTGGAATTTCATGCAGCTTTGCACATTCATCTTTCTGTGGTCACACTGAGGGGAGGGGGAAAAAAGGTATCTTCCCACTCATCTTCATGGACATGGGCCTCCAAAATCCTCCAACTAAAATATATGTTTCAGGCACCACTGTTT